CCACGAAACTGCCTAGGCTCCCACGAAACCAATAGGTCCAGTAGAATCAAAAACCCGTTGCCATTGTTCTTGAGGTCTCAGTAGTCCTCCTTGTCCGCTATGTTCAGCGAGACCAGTTTTGACCCAGGCTTTTATGTCAAGCATTTTTGAGTCACACTTAGTTGACTCTTTAGATGCAGAAGGTCATCCACATATACATGCATATATTCATATTTTCTGGAATGGTGACAAGAAAGAGCCTCAAGTGCTCAGCACAAAGTTCTATGTCAAATATTTTTGAGTCACACTTAGTTGACTCTTTAGATGCAGAAGGCCAATGGCATATACATGCACACATTTATATAGGTAACTTCTTAATGAAAAGAAAAGCAACCTTTTCAGATACGATGAAACCATGTTTTCAACTTTCTATACTGTCATGGGGGTCATTCTCTCTTCCTGACTTTGTCTCAGTGTGTCCCAGACCTCTGCATTTCCTTCCACCTGCATTCATTGACCACAGCAGACAACAGTCTGAGTACGTGCTACCTTTATAGATGTAAACACTGTGGGCAGGGACGTGGAGCATGCTCCAGTCTCACTGCTCCAGGCAGTTGTGATGCCCCAAATCTCCTGCAATCTACATAATTATCACAGCATAAATTCCTGCTATAATTTTAAAGCACATCAGTCATGGAGTAGTTTAATATATTGCTCAGAACAGGGAGAAAGCTGATGATTTTGGAGTTTGATGGCTTTAAGTCTAAATATATTGTTAACATCTTGTTTCTTGGGCTATACATTTTTTTTTATTTGCAAAGGACTTCAAGAAGCCCTGACTTATGTTGAGGTTTATTTGTTCTTCTTCAAAATTCCTACAAAACTTTGCTTCAGATTTAAGTGGTAAAATTGTGTCTATATATGGTGGCTGGAGAGATAGATCAGTCAGTAAAATGATTTCCTGGCAAGCAAGAGTATCTAAATTCAGTCAGAGCCCACAGAAGAATATTGAAGCCAGGTGTGGTGCATGCCTTTAATCCCAGCACTCAGGAGACAGAGACAGGCAGATCTCTGTGCATTTGAGGCCAACCTGGTCTACAAGAGCTGGTTCCAGGTCTTTCGAGACAAAGCTACTCGAAAAAAAAAATGCTGGATATGGTGATAAGTACTTGTAACTTATTGCAGGGGAGGTAGAGACAGGCTGATCCCCAGTGACTGGCAAGTCTGTCTTTCCTTGAGCTCCAGGCCAGCAGGAGACCCTCTCTCAAAAGGGAGAGATGGTATTTCTGAGCTATACCATATTGAAAATTTGCCATTTCATTCTTACCAAGTGTTTCTGTCTTCTGAAGTAATAATGTTTCAGATTGAGAAAAATTGGAGCACAGTGATTTTTTTAATTGATTTGGCAAACAAGGACTCATGAATGAGGTAACTAAGAAGAGCTGACACTTGAGCTGCACTAAGGAGCTGCAGAGGAAAGCCTCCCCGGGCACACAGACGTGAAGCAAAGAGAATGCTCGCTTGGCTGCAACTGGAGAATTGCCTCATTTGGCTTGCCCCATTGGGAGCCCCTAGCTATGTAACTATGTTGACTATTTCAGGTTAAGCTTGAATTGTCTTTAATGCACAAACAGGCATTTATTTCTCAATTTTGGGCCACTAAGGATAGAACCCAAGACTCCAAGCTGCCCTGTAAACACTGTACCACTGAGCTAGAAAATCAGCCCCATTGTAGCCACTTACAAGACATTGCTCAATCTCAGCTGGTCACTCACAAGTCAAAGTCAAGGTCCCTCGGGGCTTTCTTAGCTTCTCTGCACAGGAACGCTTTGGATGTGGCCTCCATTTACTACCTGCTACTGCCACTCTGTTGTACTTTACACATAAACTGTATCACTGCTGGGCACGGGGCCTTTAATCCCAGCACTTAGTAGATACTGGCAGGAAGATCTCTACTTCCAGGACTGCCTGGTGCCCATAGTGAATTCCAGGACAGGCAGCTATATAGAGAGATCCTATCTCAAAACCAAAACAAAACAAAACAAAAATGTGTTAGTTTTAGTTGTTTGGTTTTTACTTCACTGGGATAGATGTACAATGGCAGATTTTAAAATCTAGTCCCAAATTTGTGTCTAAAGTATGTCCCTTGTGTGTGTGTGTGTGTGTGTGTGTGTGTGTGTGTGTGTGTGTGTGTGTGATATATCTAGGTGTTGCAGGGGAATGGGTCCTTTTGTCTTTCCCGGCTGTCTATCTAGCTTAGGCCTGAAATAATCACACAGAAACTGTATTCATTTAAATATGGCCTGATCCATTAGCTCTAACTTCTTATTGGCTAATTCTTACATCTTAATTTAACCCATTTATATTGATCTGTGTATTGCCACGTGACTGTGGCTTACCAGCAAGATTCTAACTAGTGTCCATCTCAGGCAGGAGATCCACGGCATCTGCCACTCTGCCCTTCTTCACAGCATTCAGTTCTGCCTACTCTGCCTACCTAAGTTCTGTCCTATCAAGTAGGCCAAGGCAGTTTCTTTATTCATTACCCAATGAAAGCAACACACAAACAGAAGGAACTCCTCCACCATCTGTGCATGTGTGTTTGCAATTGGACTTTATATCAGATACACAGACACCTACTTGCTATAGTTCAGAAATTACACATGTCATGTTACATGCTGTGTAATATTTATTATGGTAGATAAGCACCAGTGTGCATTCCATATGTAGTGATTGTTCCCACTCTGGGAGGGCTCTGTCTAGGACTGGACTGAGTGCTAAAAGAAACAGATAAGCCTTCTGCCTCTGTGAGTTTACACCCAAATGGAAAGACAAACACTTCTGAAAGAAACTATGAACTCAGTGGAAATTTTCAGGTAGTACTAAGTTGGCATGTGCTGTGAAGTCAGAATAATCAACACTTGTAAGACTAGGCTAGTGTCAAAAATGTGCTACATTTGCACAATGGAGTACTATACAGTAGAAAAAAACAACATCTTGCATTTTTCAGGCAAATGGATGAAGCTATAAAACATCATTTTGAGTGAGGTAACCCAGACCCAGAAAGACAATTCTAACATGTACTCACTCAGAAGTGGTTTTTAAACATAAAGCAAAGAAAACCAGCCTACAAATCACAATCCCAGAGAACCTAGACAATAATGGGGACCCTAAGAGAGACATACAAGGATCTAATCTACATGGGAAGTAGAAAAAGACAATAATTTCTCCTGAGTAAACTGGTAGCATGGGGACCTTGGTGAGGATTGAAGGGGAGGGGAGGGGCAGGAAGAGGAGCAGTGAAAAATTTAGAGCTCAATAAAAAATCAATAAAATAAAATTAAAAAAAAAACTAGGCTAGGGTCAAGGCAGAAGAAGACAGCAGGCAGGATGCTGGACACAATTCTCTCATCACCCAGGTTAACAAAAATGTGGCAGTTTGGGACATTGGTGAGATGAGTCCTTCTACTAGGCGCCTGAAGAATGTCATTATCTCCCCCATCAGGGTCTTCCTGAGCCTTTTCCTCTGTGAGTCTATGACAGAAATTGGCTACCACCCAAAGCTGGGCTTGAGTTAAAGGGTCTGGAACATCAAAGAAATATTCACGGTGAAGAGAAAGGAGGTCAGAGAGGCTGGAGGAGAGGCTTCCAGATGGAGGTCACCAAAATAGACTATGAAACCAAAATCTGGTAGACCAGGATAGTCAAGGGGAAGTGGGGGTGGGAGGGGCAAATTCAAGGGACTCCAAAGGTGTACAAGGAGGTTAGATGAAGGAGCTGGCAGAACTGACTGATCTGGGGAGACTAACGCTGCCTTTGTCCCCTCAGGCTAGAAGACATTTATGGGTGTCCTTATGACTTTGTCGAAGTGTTTGATGGAAAGCAAGTTGCCTCACTGTCCATGGGCAAAGTCTGTGCTGGGGCAGAACTCACCTTCCTCTCCTCTTCCAATTCCATGACAGTGGTGTTTAAAAGTGACGCCATGGTCACCAACACAGGGTTCTATGCTCTGTACAACACTGTTCACCAAGACGAAAGGCAGAACGGTGGGTATCCTGACATGCACCTTGCAAGATGTCCATCGGGCTGTGCCTTTTCCCATTTGGAGAGAAGACGCTTTTAAAATATGACCTGAATTCTATCACACCTGATGTGTCCACCTCTGCTGCTAAGTGGCACGCACACTGCCAATCATAGCCCTTACCCCTGCTCTGCCCCCATAGTCCCTGCCTTCCACCTAAAGCATCTAGAAGCATAAAGCTGAGAACACCTGTCTCATACTGTCTGTGGTCCTAATAGAAAATCCCACTGAGACCTTCCCCTCCCAAAGGAAGGAAAACAATAACAATAATATGAACTGTCACAAAGTCAGTCAACTTTCTTCTGACTGGATTCAACACACACCCTCCAGAACTCTTGTGGGCCTCTCAGATCCCACAGCAGGAGCAGGCACATTGTAGAGCTCTCTATGCTTAATGTATCTTTTCCTCCAACTGGGATCTTTGGGAGCTTATGAGACTCTCAAATACTGGACTTGGAGATGGCTCAGTGGGTAGAGAACCTGAGTTCAGATCCTCAGAACCCACAAAGCTGGGTGCAGTAGCCATATCTGTAATCCCTGTGAAATGGGAGGCAGAGGCAGTCGGATTCACAGAAACTCGCAAGCCTGCTAAACTGGTGTAAACAGGATTCAGTCAGAGATGAAGGAGAGGCCTGTCTCAAGCTAGGCAAAGGTCAACAACCAAAGGTGTCCTCTGAGCTCCACGTATGTGCCTACCCTCACATAAACAATCACACACACATATGGGTGGGGGATAGATAAATTTAAAAAATTAACAGGTTTCAATACGTCTTCAGTACTTATAAAGCAATACAATTTTAGAGAGTCAGGTTGCAGGGCCACTCCTAGTGTCTAATATGGAGAATGTGTTTTTATCAACCTGCAGATGGCCCTATTATATGAGGACAATGTCACATCTCAGAAGCACCTATTTTTCCTTTCCTAGGTCTGGCCTTGAGACTGGTGAATGGTAGCCACAGGTGTGAGGGACGAGTAGAGATCTCTTACAATGGTACCTGGGGCACAGTGTGTGATGACAGCTGGGACCTGACAGATGCCAAGGTGGTGTGCCAGCAGCTTGGCTGTGGTGTGGCCATGTCAGCCCCAGCTGAGAGCTACTTTGAGAGAGGCATGGGCCATATCATGCTGGATGATGTGCAGTGCATGGGGGATGAAGCCAAGGTGTGGCAATGCACACATCACGGATGGTTCTCCCACAACTGTGGGCACCATGAGGATGCCAGCGTGGTTTGCTCAGGTGAGTGGCAAGGCTTGCATCACATCTCAGAGACAGAGCTTTGCCAACCACAGCCATTGGGAAGGAGGATGTCAATACCAGCAGGCAAGCTGTCAGCAATGAGATCTGGGATTTGAGCCTATTTTAAATTCAATTTACTTAAGAGTTAGTTTGTGAGCATAGATTCCAGCATCTGTAAATTATTAAAAAATCTCACCTGGAAAATAGAGATTATATGAATGGTCTGTATTAGCAGACATCTTATACCTGGCCTGGCAGGCCTGGGTGCTGGTAGCAATCCAGTATCCACCAAGGGTTCTATGAATGCCAAACTGTCCTACAACCAATGCATCTGAATTTTCAGTTCATTCCCATGGCTAACATAGAGTTGAGGGCATCTGTACTCAGCTGATCAGGCCCTCAAAGTCATATCCAGCCCCACATGCAGGACCACATTCTTTAGGTATTGCCTGGCTGGGGTCCTTGGTTAAAGACCAAGCTCATCTCTGTGACAGAGGCTCTGTTAGCCCAGTAACTGACCAAAATCAAACAAACGCCATGCTGTACCTGAACCACAGGGGCCTTGTGTGCTCCCTCACTCCAGCTCTCTGATTCCCTCACTAGCCTGGATGACTCTTAATTCTAGTTTCCAGTGGCCCAGAGCAGAACATGTCTGATCCTAAAGAAAGAGCCTGATTTTTATGGGGAGTTATGTGCCCACCTTATTCAATCTGTCTCTCACCCTGACATTTGTCTTTGAATAGGTATTGATGCAACACCAAGCAGAGGAACAACAGGTACTGCCCGTCAATATATGTACTCAGTTGCCAGGGCCCTCGTGGGTGAAAATCTGAGCCACCATTCAATTTCTGAAGCTAGAGGGGAGGGCCCAATTAGATACTCTGTTTGTTATCAACAAAGGCACTAACATATGACAGTTGACAATATGGTGGGGGTGAACTGCTGCAGATGGTGGGAAGAGGAGAGAGAGTAAGGGAAGGGCTCAGATCCACCAGAGATGAAATACCTTGGGTACTGGTTCAGTAGAGAGAGGACCAACCAGCTGCTGGCAGTGGTGATCATGTCATGAGATTCAGGATGGAGCAAGGAACCAGCAGTTCCCAGTTGTCTGCAGAGGCCCCTGTCCATATTCTTGATGTACAAGTGTGTAAGCTTCTAAGAGTCAGGGCCAGCTCTGCTCACTGGGCACAGGGAAATGGGTAACTCAAAATGTCAATAGTCTTTCGAGTTTTAAGAAAAATAATTAAATATGAATACAAATTCTTGATCACGACATTTTTTTCTGTGCATTTTTATAGACTCCTCCAGTGTCGTCATGACAGGTACTGCAGCTCCTCTTGTATGTATTGCTCTTCCATTGGACTCGTCCTGTCTCTGGCTGACACCCTTTCATATTTAATACATAACAAGCTGCTACATAGGAGTCTACACCTAATCACACACCAAATCCGAGAGTTTGACACTAACTGCAGAATTCACCTTGGTCTTGATTTCTGCTCCAATTTATATATAATTATTAAAAGATAAGCTTTGGTGCATTGGAACTTGAAAGAGTTTGTGCCAAGCCAATAACTATTTTAAATTGAGAAGCTGCAAGCTGGGGTTATTTGGGCCTTCACCAAGAGGCCAGGCTTTGATAGGTCAAGGTTGGAGGCAAGGCCAACGTTTGCCTGGTGAATGTGCACCAATGTCTTCTTTTGGATCACTAGAGTGGGAAGTTCCTAGTTAGAGGTGAGTTGGCAGTTTCTAGTTACTTCCGACAATATATACTGAGTGACTTTCTTTGCTTACGTAGGAACTGAGAAGCCAGATCATTTTAAGCTTCCCAATTATTTCTTTTTGTCAAGTAAATTCCTGATTCTCAACCTTCCTAGGCTGTGACCCTTTCATATAGTTCCTCATGTTGTGGTGATCCCCAGCCATAAAATTATTTTGTTGCTACCTCAAAACTGTAATTTTGCTGCTGTTATGAATTATAATGTGAATATCTGTTATGCGACCCCTGTGGGGGGTCACAATCCAATGGTTGAGAATCACTGATCTAATGTGAGTTGTTTGCTCTACGGCATAGCATAGTGGGTTTGCACATGTAAACCTATCTGGGGACCTGTGCGCATAAGGCCTGTTCAATTGCTATCATTTTCCCGTCACAAATGGAATGGTCTTCATCTGTCAGAAGGTTGATGCTGAGGCTGGGGATGTAACTCAGTTGGAAGAGAGCTTGTCTACTACACAGGAAGCCCTGGGTTCAGTCCCTAGCATTGTACAAAACAAACCAAGATGGTACATGCCTATTCCAGCACTCAGGAGTGGAGGCTGGATGATCTCAGGAGGTTAGGGCCACCCCCTAGCTATATAGTCAGCCTCAACCCTTTTAGTCCTGTCTCAAAAAAAGAGTTTTGTTCTGGCTGGAGGCATAGCTCATCAGTTAAGAGTACTTGCTAAGGACTTCAGTTCTATTCTCAGCATCTACAACAGGTAGCTTAGAACTTCTTGTAATTCCAGTTCCAAGGGACCCAGTGCCTTCTATTTCTATCTCCACAGACGTGTACTCACACACTCGAATGTTCTCTCACTCTCTCTCTCTCTCTCTCTCTCTCTCTCTCTCTCTCTCTCTCTCCAAAGAAAAAGGCATTACAACAAAAAAGGAAAGCAGTCCTGGCCTAAGTCTCCCTTACATCTCTTTGTTGGTACGGCTGTTTTTCTTCAGACTCTACAGCTCATACCAACTTCACATTGAGATCTGGTCTCGGTGCTGGGGTTATAGGTGTGCACCCCTACACCCAGCCTGTTTTCTTTCCTTCTGCTTTCTTGTGTCTCCTCTTTATCTCGCTAGAAACAAAACAAAAAGCACCGTGTTTCTTCATGAGATTTTCTCACTTTTTTACAGATGAAAATTTCCAATGTGGTGGTTTGCTCACAAATAGTTCAGGCACCTTCTCCAGTCCTTGGTATCCTAAAAAATATCCCACCAATGTGCTATGTGCCTGGGATGTACAAGTGGATAGCAGCGCTCACATCAGACTCACCTTTGAAGTGGTCAAGTGAGTGAATATTTTCTGCTTATACAGTTATCATTACTTGTCTTTGTACACATCAGTTTTGCTGCCTCTTTGTCAGACACAACAATGCAGTTGCACACATGAACTCCTAACAGATGAAACTTCATTGCAAGACAAATAATATCAAGTCAGCCACAGTCCCAACATGCATGATTGAGGGACTCACAAAGTCCTACTCCTTTCTGAGAAGCTGTTGGCAATTAGAGGTTACTGGGAGAGTGAGAGCCATTTTCATGTAAAAGTCTTACCTAATATCAAGTCAGCCACAGTTCCTACATGCATGAGTGAGGGACACATAATGTCCCCCCGCTTTCCGAGAAGCTGTTGGCAATTAGCGGTTACTGGGAGAGTGAGAGTATTTTCTTTGGGGATACAGGCACTGAGAAATTACCCACACTCATGTAGAAGGTTCCATACCCATGCGCACAGAGAAATCACAAAATGGATTCAGTGGGTAGCAAATTTAAAATAAAAATGGATGTGCTGGCATATGCCTTTTATCCTGGCATTTAAGAGACAAAAGCAGGCAGATCTCTGTGAGTTCAAGATCAGCCATGGCTACATTGCCAGACCTGTCTCAAAACAAAAAAAAAAGTAAAAAATAAAAAAATTTAATAGAAGATAGACAGTGAAGTTGGGAGAACAGGGGGAAGGGAGCTAGTGGAGGAATTGAAGGGAAGGAACTGGGCCAGTCTGGATGCACACTGTACATGCATGTATAAATATTATATAAAACATAAAAAAGCTATAATTCTCCCAAATGAGCTGTAACTTGAAGTGCCTAGAAATGTTGATCAAAAGTCTGAGTACAGAAACCCCAGGAATTTAAGTCCTGTGAGTACAAGAGAGTATGCAGCTTTCACACAGAGACAGTAGATTGGGATTAATCTACTTTCCCATCAGCAGATCTGCTAAACAGATTTTTGGTACAGCCACATGTAACTCACAGACTAAGTCAGTAGTGCTGCAGAATGAGATGCAAGAAAACAGTGAACAGTTGTCAAATCTGCCACCATTCTTGTGTAAGCTTCTTGGGAAAGGAAAAAGAACCGCTTCTGGGAAGAGGGATACAGTGGAGGTATCAGTGGGGATGGGAGGTTTTCCTTCCTTCCTTCCATAAGCCATCATTATCACTTAAATTTGATTCCATGAGTTTATAGCACACATAGAAAAGATATTGAATTAAAACTTGAACAAATCAAAAGAAAATGAACTTAATGGTATTTTTGTAGATTTTTGCCTCCAATCACTTTGTTTAGACATTTCTTTGGCTTATTGGTCTTTTGGTTGTATATATTGTTACATTTGTGTGTGTGTGTGTGTGTGTGTGTGTTGTTTGTTCCTGGCTTGCTTTTCTTTTAAAGAGAGAAAGAAAAAGCATGGAGCTGGGTGAGTGGAGAGGAACTGGGGGTGGGAGTGGAGAATGTGACCAGAACAACTTGTGTGAAAATATTTTTCTTCAATACAAAACTAACAGAATATATTTGGAAGTAGAAAGGTACATTTACCCACATCAGTAGAGCCAGGCACTCTTCCTGACTGTCAGAGGAGGTATGAATAGTTTTTCCTGACCCTTCCTGCAGCCATCTGGGAGTCACTTCTGGAGAAAAAGGCCAAGGAAAGGAGCTTGAATGATGCCATTTCATCCACAGGATAGAAAACTTCTATGGCTGCCCTTATGACTTCATTGAGATTTTTGATGGTCCACAAAGCGAATCATTTTCCCTGGGGAGATTCTGCTCAGAAACCATCCCAGTATTTACCTCTTCTTCAAACCACATGAGTGTGGTGTTCCACAGTGATGACATTGTCACCAACATAGGATTCTATGCATCTTATGAGTCTCTGATGCAAGATGAGAAAGACCCAGGTAGGTTCTTTCATCATTTCAGCCTCTGGTCCTGCTTGGTGGTGACACTGCACTCAGATGGACATTCTCTCAGCCTGGAGCGAGGGATCTGAGCACTCCACTGGGATGGATATTCGGTCAGCTGGGAGCGAGGGATCTGAGTGTTGACTGAGTTTCTGTCCTGCCTGTTTTCTGTCCTCCCACAGCCATTTATCCCCAAAGAAATCACACAGAGGTCTATATTAATGATAAACTGATTGGCCCATTAGCTCAGGCTTTTTATTAACTCTTATAACTTATATTAACCCATTATTCCTATCTATGTTAACCACATAACTCGGTACCTTTTTCAGCAGGGTAGGTCACATCTTCCTTCTTCGGTGTTTGGGCAGGACTGCAGAGGAATGGGTATTGCTCTTCCCAGAATTCTCTTCTCATTGTCCCGTCTCTACTTCCTGTCTGGTTTCCCTGCCCATACTTCCTGCCTGGCTACTGGCCAATCAGCCTTTATTTAAAACGTAATTGACAGAATATAGGCAATTGTCCTGTACCATCTGAGAGTGCTTCCCAAGCTTCTGGTCAGTCACAGCTCCTGAGATGTGAGTTGGAGCGGTTTATGGCTGAGCACATTGCTCTGGACATAGAGACAGACATCTTCTGAGACTAGAACTGTTAGGAGAAAAGTAACTCAGCTAGCCCCATGTTAGAACCTGTTCTATCAAAACTATGTTAATAATGAGTTCACAAATGGTGGAGTGATAATGTTTCCATGCTCAATTATTAGCACACTATAGAAGGCTATTGAAAGCCTTCTTTGAGCTCTGTGAAATATAAAAGTCATCCAGGGATGTATAGGAGGATGTTACCATCCCCTGGGGCAAATATCACATTTGCAACAAGTCCAAGGTGCTCAGCAGCCAGCTTTAACCCATAAGGTGCCCTCCCCAGTGTGAGGGTTGAGCCCTCAAAGCTAACCAAGGCAGAGATCATGTCCTCCTTACTTTCATTGCTCATCAACATGGGAGGCTTCAGGGCAGTGACCCAGCTTGTCTGCCTTTCCAGATGTGGCACTCAGGCTAGCCAATGGCAGCCACCCTTGTGAAGGCCGTGTGGAGCTCTACTACAACAGCAGCTGGGGCACAGTGTGTGATGACAGCTGGGACCTAAGAGATGCCCAGGTGGTGTGCCAACAGCTGGGCTGTGGAGGAGCCGTGGCAGCCACTGGCCGAGCACATTTTGAGCGAGGCCTTGGTCCCATTGTCCTGGATGATGTAGAATGCATGGGAACAGAAGCCAGACTATGGCAATGTCTGCACAGTGGCTGGTTTGCCCACAACTGTGGCCACCATGAGGATGCTGGTGTCATCTGCTCAGGTGGGCTGGGTTCTGAGTCAGATGGGCTCATGGCTCTCCAGTTCTGGGAGTTTCCTGTACCACCACACATAAATCAGGAAGGAAATCTAGGATAGTCCCAGATCACTGTTCCCAGCTTATCCTCCTGCTAGTCAAGGTGTGGTTTTAATTATCATTTCTTTAATCCGAATCTTTACTATGCGAGTTTCTTTTACAAGGAAGCTTTAGACTTTATCAGCTTAAACAGAAAGCCAAGGCCACATCCTGCAAATAGACCACACTTAAACATAGACACAGTGTCTTAGTTACTTCTCTATTGCTATGATAAAATACCCCTGATGAAAATAACGTATAAAAGAAAGCAATTTATTTGAGGCTCATGGTTCCAGGGGCTAGAGTCCATGACCACTATGGTGAGGAGCATGACAGCAGGTGGGTAGGCATGGAGCTGGTGCAGTAGCTGAGAGCTCACATCTTGATCCACACAGAAGCAGATGGAGTTAATTAGGGTGTTCTTAGGCTTTTCAAACTTCAAAGCCTGCCCCCAGGGGCATACCTCCTTCAACAAAGTTACACTTCCTGTTCCTTCCCCAAACACTTCAACCAGCTTGGGAGCAATCATTCAAACATATGAGCCCGTGAGAACCATAAAACCACCACATGCAATGGCAATGAAATCATTGTCAGAGCCAGAATTTTTTTTTTTTGAAAATTTGATAGGACCTGGATATTGCTAAATGTTTAAGAACACTAACTGCTCTTCTAGAGGATCAAGGTTCAGTTCCAAGTACCCACACAATGATTACCACAGCCTAGGCTATGTGGGATCTTGTCTTGAATTGGTCCACTGATTAATACATTAAAAATAAGAATTACCAAACCAAACTAACTAGCAAGACAGACACATCATATAGGTGACTCTCCCTGTGGTCACAGTGCATAAAAAGACTCCCAAGGCCAGAGCTTTGTAAGCATTTCCTTCCGCACACTGCTTTCTACCTGGCAGAACAAAGAACAAAGAAGCCAAAAGCATTAGCTTTTTCATTTGCTCCTGGCTCTTTGGGACCTAGTATTTGCCTCATTTCAAACTTAGTCAGTGGTTCTTCAGGGCAGGTCTTTAAGAACAGAGTTAAGCATGCAGAGAAGAATCAGGAGAAAGGAAATCCCAAGCCTTTAGAGGAAGTGTCATCCTGAGTTATTCTGGTGTCAGAGGTCCTCAAAGGATGCTTTGTTGTCTTTAAACTGGATCTATTTTTAAAAAATCAGTTAATCCCCAGGCTTTGGTTTTCTTGGGATTATAAATGAGTTTGTATTCACTGTGCACATGTTGAGCAAGGGAGGGAAGGATTACTCTTTACAGAGAGATGTACTGGAAGGGATGTACTTAGAAGCCCTAGTCTCGAAGGTGGAGAGCCCACTAGAAGTTGACCAAGGATTGAAGATGTTTGACACTTAACAAAGATGTGGTATAATTTTCTTATTTTGCTTTCTTTCCATCTTTAGCATTGTTGGTAAAGCAGCCAGCGGTGTCCACTTCAACAGGTAACCTTTTTTTCTCTCCTCAGTTGCCTTTCCTTTGTAGTGTTTGAGCCCAGATCCCAGCATGAAGGGGGAGACGCATCCCTGTTGAAGACATTGTCTATTCCCACCCTCCTTCCCAGCTCACACTGGCCACACTGATGGCTGCTGCTGGAAGGAGGACTGGGAATGCCTGGCCCATGAAGAAAATCTGGGGCAAGAAAATACCGCAAGAAGCAAGAATAATTTGCAGGGGGTTGGTGTGGAAGATGGTTCCTATTGAGGCTCAGGGTGACTTGCTGTCCCTATCAAGCTCTACTTAGGAACTGACTTGGCCACCTTCTGACCTTTTATTCTCTTCTGAGAACCTTTGAATATGGGCATCAGCATGCAACAACTGTCCTTCTTATTCCATGGAACATCTTGACACAAGAGGCATACTGGATCTTGGTGTCTACTGCTATCTTCCCTTAATACACACACACACACACACACACACACACACACACATACACACACACTCCAGCTAGCATAGCTTTTCATGGAAAATTTAAAAAAAAAATAAAAGAAACTTTGTGATTACCAGAAACTAAGACTTACAACTTACAGTAAGTGGCCCACAGGACAAGTTCCTGGTCCAGCAGGCCATGAAATAATCATTTCTTTACCAAACACAGTCTTAAAAACACATGAAGTGGAATCAAGGACAAGAATTGAAATGATTTGAAATGAATGAAAGGGAAGTGGGTTTGCCATCCTTGACTGTCAATGCACGACTCCCAGGAAACAGCTGCTGTTTCTGGCAGTCTTTGGGAATGAACCCTCATGGGAATGTCTTGGATTACCAAGGTCTGGATCTGCGGCTGGTGAACGGGACAAGAAGGTGCGAAGGCCGAGTTGAGGTGTACTATGCCAACACCTGGGGGACTGTGTGTGATGACAACTGGTCCATAGAAGATGCCCACGTGGTCTGCAGACAGCTGGGCTGTGGTCCAGCTTTGTCTGCCCTGCCAGGCACCAGTTTTAGCCCTGGGTCAGGCAGCATTATCCTTGATGATGTCAACTGCACAGGAAGGGAGTCTTCCCTGGCGCAGTGCCCTCACAGCGACTGGCTCACCCACAACTGCGGGCACCAGGAAGATGCTGGTGTCATCTGTGCAGGTGAGAGCAGGCCCATCCTAGGCCAGCTGTAGAACTCCCCAAGCCAAGCCCGAAGGCTGGCACACAAGGACCGTGGGTTTCTTTGCCCAAACTGAAATACTTGCAATACTTGGGGTGGCTGTTTTCAAACTGAAGGTCTGAAGAGATGAACTGGCCATAAAATAAAGAAAATGATAGTACTAGCCTCTCAAAGCTGACAGGCATTAACAAGATAACATGCATACAACGCTTAGCCAAATATCTAAGAAACCATAAATTACACAAAAGTGCAAGCTGTTGTAATTTTTTTTAAACTAAGTTTCATTCTATCAGAATTCTGTGCCGGGTTTTTAGGTGAGTGACACCCCAGAGCAAAGGGCACAGCCTTGGATGCTTAAGAAGGATTGCTCACCCCCAGCTTCCTTCCGTTGTCATTAAACAGAGGCCACGCCCTTCCTGCCACTCAGCGCTGTGGTTTCTTATAGCCATCTCGTGTTTCCTTTTCTCTACAGATTCTGAAGCTGTCGGACATCCAGGTATCTATGAGTTCATGAACATTGTATTTCCTGCCCGGTGACTAGCACTTACCAAAAGGATTACCACACTGGGTTTCTCTTCTGAGTTTTCATATTTTTTTGATGATTCTCTGAAATCTAGACTGCTGTCCCCCAGTCCCTGGGGGCCTGCCATGCACCCAGAGGAAAGGTGTTTTGGCTGTTAACAGATTGGTGTGCCATCCCTTCTGGACACGAATACCACATTTCAGCAGGAAGCCGTGATACCAGCCTTTGACCCCAGATAGATGTTCATGCAGCAGAGGCCTTGGGAGGTCAAGGGGGCAGGTGATCCTAGAGGCAGGTGAGCCTGGGGACAAGTGCTCCTACTCAGTCTGCAGCCTACACACGGGAACTGGGTGACTGAGAGTGAGGCCCTGCTATGAGACCACAGCTTCACGATCCCAACATGAACTTCATGCCTCATTCTTATGTAGAAAAACACACACCCAGGCCTGAGCCACTGCTGCATTTATAATGGAAGCGATCTGATCAGCTACTCAGAGGGGTTGCTTAAAGGCAAACTCACTTATGTGACTTAGATGGCACTTAAGGACATGAGCTTGCCTTTTATTCACTTAGGATGTATTTATGGTGACTTTCCACCCCCCCCCCCCCATTCTTACCTGTACAGCCACTTCAGCTCCTGAGGAACATCCACACTGTTTCCATCCAATAGGTACTTCGCTACCCTTGCAGTCTGGGACTCTTTCTTCTGTGGCTGTTTGTGCCTCACAGAAATGCAACCCACAAGGCTTGGAAGACAGCTCAGTAGGTAGAGTGCTGGCCATGCAGACACAGGGTCTAGTTCATCTCCAGAACCCATGCATGGTGACACATGTCAATTTGAGACAAGTGGAGACAGACAGCTTCCTGGGGATTGCTGGCCAGCCAGTGAATCCCAATCAGTCAGTTCCAAGTAAAAGTAAGAGGCTTTATATTCTCAAAAACACAAGGTAGAAGGCACCCAGAAGAAAATAAATTTGGGGTGACATCTAATCTAGCCTATACAGGTGCATGCAAGTGCATACATGCACACACCACACACGCACACACCACACACACACACACACACACACACACACACACGCGCGCGCGCACACACACACACACACACAGAGACTCACACACACACACAGACTCAGAGAACATTATTTCCATGGGCTATAGACCTGGCATTACATGGCAAACAAGCTTATTCAAGCTTGTGACACGTTGCTAATCTTATTATGAGGGTGTTTTCGAGGAGAGAGCCAATTTACCTGCCCATCTCAATTGCAGAATCTGATGTTCAAAGGCCAGGCTCTAGTCAGCCCTGGGAAAGAGCCCACCCCAGTTCTGAGGGTTCCGACTCTGAGAATCCACTTCACCACTTTCAGTTCAGAGGGTCTTTTTCCTGATTAATTCCCACCTGGCCTCGGGGACGCTGTATCTCCGATAAAGACCTTAGGTTTTCTAGAGTCAAGCATTGAGCATCTAATTTTATGTTGTAAATTGAGTCCTATCTGAGGGAACCAGGTTAGAAATACAGTCTCAACCCTCGGCCTGCAGATGCGTTGTTTTCAGTTGTTCAAAAAGTGATAATGGGAAAGGGCCCTGAAAACGGTGAGCCCTGAGCAGGGGGCCCAAGGCCTGGAGACCCCAGCTGTAGAGAAACTAAGGCAAGAGGACTGTATGTTCAAAGCCTGCTGGGACTGAGATCTAGCCAGCCCAGGAGAATTAGCGAGACTCCTATCTCAAAAGAAAAGGTAAAGAGGACCAGAGAAATTGTTTCATGGGAGCGGGGTATCTTTACCTCAATGCTAGTCTGTGGCCTCTATTCCCATCACAAAAGTGTCCAGGGGGTAATCCAGCATAGATGGAAACACATGAAATTTCCAGGGAGGAAAGTGGTCATATGTATTCCTTTGTGTATGTATATAGGTCTCTACGCCAGCATAGCTGGTCATAGACAGGTGCTACCCCAACAGCAGGCTGCACACCAGGCATCTGTTAGATGTTAGACTCTCTAGTTTGATGCTGTTTCCTCTGAGCACGGAAGGACCCTCAGCTGACTTGGCCCTTGGCTCCTGCAGATCTGCAGCTGGTGAGACTGGTCAACGGGAGAAGCCAGTGTGAGGGCCGCGTAGAAGTCTACTTCAATGGGACCTGGGGGTCTGTGTGTGATGATCTTTGGGGCATACAGGCCGCCCAAGTGGTATGTCAACAACTGGGCTGTGGGATGGCCCTGGCAGCCCCCAGGAGCAGCCTGTTTGGCGATGGCTCTGGCCCCATCTTCCTAGACGATGTGAGGTGCTTGGGGACAGAGAGCAACCTAGGGTACTGCCGCCACCTCGGCCTGTCTGTGCACAACTGTGATCACCATGAGGATGCAGGAGCCATCTGTTCAGGTACCCAATCTCTGCTGGACTTCACTTTCCTCCCAAGCAACAAACCAGGGAGAGCCACACGGACACAGGGGCCCTGCTGGGGCGAACTTGTCCTGGCGTTAGCACCAAGGGTCCCATGCCTCTCAAGCGTCCTTGGGACTCCAACAGCCAACAGTATTGGTCACCCAGGTGTCAAGAAATGAGGGTCCATTGTCCATTGTCACAGCCTGTTCTCCGGGCATTACAGACACAAGTCTTGTAATCAATAATAAACCTGAAAGACAGAGTGATGTCCTGCCGTTGGGTAGTTTTTAACTCCTGGGAACGGTCCTTCTGTGTGCAACAAACTCATGCGTCCTCTGATGAGACTTCAGGCAGCTTGACTCTCCTCGTGGCTGATTGCCAGTGTTGGGACTTTCTGGCCACAGGACACAAGTTTATGTAACTCAAAAAAAAAAAATGTGACCAAAACCTCTGTAACCTTGTTTTGTTATTAATTATATTACTGCCAGGCCTCATGACTTCCCGAGACAACTCATTCTTTACCCCCTAGAGGGCCTGGCAGAGGCGAGGTGGGGAGATGGTATCAAGATCGAGCTGAGGAGAGGCTTTCTTCTCCAGTCTATCAGTTTGCTGCTTATCTTGTTTTGTTTATAGCTGAAGAGTTAGTTTCATGGTGCCAGGAGATGAAAAACTCTCATTTCCTAATCATTGGCCACAAATCCCCTAGTGCCACCTGCTTGTAAGTTTAACAGATGTTTTCAGTGAGGATTAATAAATCAGGTGAGGGAAAGGTGGTCCAGGGTCATCGTTGGCATGAACTGGCTCTTAACATATGACCAAATCACATGTGTGCCCCCTCACATGGACATGACGAGGATTCCTGCACACTTGGCTTGTGGTATTTATAAGATGAACCTCCTCCACTGATGTGAATGCTTCTCATTGTCTCTTTCAGCTGTTGGCGTTGCCTCAGATTTGGCAGAAGTGGCTCCCGTAGTTGGTAATACTCTCATGGTTTCTCTTGTGACTTCCTGGTTAACCCTGAACCTCCCCAAGGTTGTCGCCTATACTCTCACTGGCTGCCTGGAGCTCAGCTTCCCTGGGATTGCAATGGAGAAAGCTGAGCTGGAGGAGAGGCTATTCATATGGACTATTACTACACATCTTCTCTTAGTTTATGGGATGATTTTTAACTTTGAAATTGCACCAAGGGACAAGAAAAGAAAGAAAAAACTTGATTTTGACATATTTAAACCCAAAACCTATGGATTTTGTGGTTTGGTTTCAAAGATATGATTATCACTGTAATAACACACTTTTAGTCCAGAGATAAGAAACCAGAGAAGTTACTGCATTTAAAATAGTTAATTCAGGGTAGTCCTGTGGGGCCTAGCGGCAGCAGGCCAGAATTCCAACTGTTCTGAGATTTAGAGGGATTGTGTTCAGAACTAAAGAGAAGCCCACCTGATGGCCACGACACCCCAGGACTAACCTCTGAGTCTCCCCCAGGTCAGCTCATGATCAGGTTGGTGGATGGAAAGAACCGGTGTGAAGGGAGAGTGGAAGTCCTCCACAATGGCACATGGGGCACTGTTTGTGATGACCTCTGGGGAATCGAGGATGCCCACGTGGTATGCCGGCAGCTGGCCTGTGGGAAGGGTCTCAGCGCCCTTGGGAATGGCCACTTTGGAGAGGGCATGGGGAGCATCTTCCTGGATGATGTGCAGTGCCAGGGCAGTGAGACCTCGCTAGGCCTGTGTCAGCACCAAGGCTTGTCTGTCCACAACTGTGGCCACCATGAGGATGCCAGTGTCATCTGCTCAGGTACCTGCTGCTGGCTTTGTCAATCATTCTTGGGGAGGTCCTGGAAATTAACGTGGGGACATTTGGATCCTGTTGGGATGTGCTAATTGTGCCCAAGGCTCTGTTTTGATGTTCTAAGACTTTCTGGGACAGTGGGAGTCCACCTGGTCATACCTGGCCTCCCTTGCTGAGCCCTGCTTGATTCAACACCCATGAGCTCCCCGTAGAGCCTGCAGACTGTCCTGTCTTTGAGGACTCTCCAGGTGCTCTGTCCACTACCCACTACAGTGATGCATTTTCCTTGTGCTGTCTGCTCTGAGCTTGGGGGCTGACTTTCAGTGTTGGTCTTGAGAATTCTCTTTTTAAATTTATTTTTAAAAAGAAATCAAACTATCTTTATTCATTTTACATACCAATTCCAGTTCTCACTCCCCTCCCTCTTCCCATCCCTTCCACCTCACCTCCTCCCCACCCATTCTCCCATCTACCCTGTGTGAGAGGGTAAGGCACATTCCTTTGGAGAAGGGCCAAGTCCTGCCTACTATATCCAGGCTGAGCAAGGTATCCATCCAAAGAGATTTGGGTTCCAAAAAAGCCAGGACAACTCCAGGCAGACAGGGAAGGAAACAGCATAGGTCCAAACTAGTCCGTCTACCTGCGGGTGACAGTTTTATGGCTGGGGCAGTCTGTGGCGCCACTGGCAGTGGCAGCAGGATTTATCCCTACTACTTGTAATGGGTCCCGCCCTTTGTTCTTAAGAATTCTACTGACACAATCCAGTTTCTCTTGCTTCGTTTAAACTGTTTCCTTTCGGCCTCTCATTTGCGATGGTTTCCTGCTGTTTCTTCTTTCTTTGTTTAATTCAACAAGGTTTGTGCATACAAGGTTCTCTATCTCAACAGGAAGTAAAATAGAGAGAAAAATGGGATGAAATGAAAACAACAGTAGTGAAGCATCTCTTAGATAGCACAGAGACTAGGAAAAGATGGTTTTAAGTCGTTCGTCTCTTTATTTAATATACATTTCTCTTAGATTTTATTTATCCTTTGACAATTTCAGTCAAGGTGTCCTCATCATATCCGTCCCCTACTTTCCCTAAATACCTCAATCCTACCCAACATGTCCCCTCCCTCCTTTCACGTCCTTTCTTTTTTCTGTAGTCCACTGAGTCCAGTAGATGCTGCTGGCTGATGTGTTGACTGAGCTTGCTGGCTTCATGTTGTGCAGACAATCATAACTGCAGTGAGTCATGAGGGCAGTGGCCATAACCTGCCCAGAAGAGATGGCACCCCCACCCTCCAGCTCTTACATTCTTTCTGGCCCCTCTTCCTCAGAGTCCCCTGAGCCTTGAGGGGTTGGTGTAGACGTCCAGTTTAAAGCCGAGTCTTAATATTCACTTATTCTCAGCACCTTACCAGTTAAGAGTCTCTGTGCTGACTGTTTGTTTAATACACACACTATGAACCAGGCAGAGTTCTCTAGGTACCAAGGATGTGGTTACAGAACAAAATAGCATCTATTCCTGTGTCTCAGAAGGAGAGCTGCAATCACTTATACAGTTAACTATAATATAAACAAATTTGAATAAAGATCAAATATAGGATGATAACATACTTTATATTTGTAAAGACTTTTTTCTTCCAGTGTTCAGACAACTCAACATTGTGTTATGATCATAGTTTGGTATAAATGAGAAGTCAGCCTTATCAGTCTAAGGGTGGAATGAGGAAGGCACCTAGTAATTTGCCACTATAAAAACCACATCCTCTTCATTGCACCGGAGAAGTGGCCTTCCTGACCTATCCCAGGGGAACAACCTGTGCCCCATCCAGTGAACATTTCTAACTTCCTGCCTTCATGCATCCTTATTTTTATTCAAACTTAGCAAAAAACAAACAACAAAGAACACAAAAATGAAAACACAGGAAAGCAATAGCAAACTCTGTCTTTTGATTTAGTTCCACATTCCAGAGGCCGTTTGTATGGAATTTGAATATATCTCATGTGTCAATTTTTTAAGTAAAAATAATCTCCTAATTTCTGAGTGCTTTTCCATTCCAGCATCAGCCACAGCGTTGACAACTTCACCCGGTAAGATCTCTGTCTTCACTGTTTTCTCAAAGTGTGTAGATTGCCTTACCTGGTTAAGGTTTCAATTTGTATAACATATGCCTCATGAATACTAATGTGCACAAAGCTTGCTTGGAATTCTGTTAAAAATGCATGTTTTCATCCAAGAGTCTGCATTTCTTTTTCTTCTTTTTGTTTTATGTGCATGAATGTTTCACCTGCGTGAGTGTATGAGCACATGTTTGTGTCTGGTGCTGGTTGAAGCTGCAAGAGACCATCAGAGAGTTATAGGTGTTTGTGAGCCAAGCATGTAGGTGCTGGGAACCAAACCTCTTGGATCAGTAAGTGCTCTTAGCAACTGAACCACCTCTTCAGTCCCGGGAGTCTGTGTTTCTAAAAGAAGCCACAGACACTGCTGATCCACAGGGTAGACCTTTCCCATGCAGAGGCTGAAGTCTGGAGATTCAGGACTCGTCCAGGGTCACACACTCTGTTACACAGACACTAGGAGCCAGGTCTCTTGGCTCCAGCTACTGTTCATTTCCTCTAACTTTATAAAACAGAGAAGAGGAGAATCCAATAGGAACAAAGTAGAACAGAGTGTATCAGGACACATTTGTGGACAGGGCCATTTACTTTTATAAATAATCTTGACTGACAAGGATGCCACTTAATTACAATTTCCTACCCTGCTTGTTTCGACAGTTCCTACCTCAAGCCCAGCGGCAGCTTTAGTCCTTGCAACTGGTAAGCTTTCTGTTCATTTTCCCACTCCCTTTCTAGCAGGGATGATAGGATGCTGAAATTTCACCAAGCTAGTACAGTCTTACTCCTGGCTCCCCACAGTCACCTGGCTGACCTAATATCTCAAGTAATAGACGAGATACAAGAAGTAGACCCAGAGGGCCTCTGCAGCCAGGTCAAGACCAAGCTCAAGTCAAAGTCAAGTGCTTGCATACGTATGGGCCATTCCACAGGGCCTCTCGCACAGCCTGCCGATGTGTTGTTGCTTTTTTGCGTACCCTCAGCACTTGGCCCTCTGGCCATCCTCCCGACTGTTCAGTAGGGAGAAAAGTAGGTTGGGCGAGGGGGTATAAGGACTGGGAGGGTTAGCCCCATATTGGCAGTGGCAGGGATTCTAGTAGATGCTACCATAGTCCTATGGAGCAAAAGTGCCCTCTTAACCAATGCCCTTTGAGATGCCTCTGCACTGTATCCCAACACAAACAGTGATATTCTTCCCCACGAGTGGATCATGCAAATAGCAGTTTCATCTCAGGAAAGACTTAATTTATACTAGCACAGGCTGTGTGCTTTGCATCTGGATGTTCAAACCCTTATTCAGAAGGACATGAAATAACGACCCTCAGAGCAGTCTTCCCGACAGCACAGGCAGACTGCAGGAGAGGTGGGATGAGCGATGAGAACCTTCTCACCAGGTGACTAACGCTCCCCCTTGGGTTTTGTATCAGGCATCGCTCCCACTTCAGTAGAAGCAGCTCGCCTGTCATCACCTAGCAATGGCCTCTGCCCACCACACTGCACAGGTAGGATGGAAGGGTGTTGGTCATGACAGGGGGTAAAATGAGCTCACAGCTTGAGAGCGGTTGTCATTGTCTGAGCAGACTGTCTCATTGAACCAGACCCAGCACTGGGAATATGGGGAAGGGAGGATTAGGAGGGAGAAGGGAGCTCCTTTGCCACACACCACACACTCACACACACCACATACACACATCACACACACCACACCACAGACTACATACACAAGCATCACACAATATCACATACACCATACACACATCACACATACCACACCACAGACTACATATACAAGCATCACATACATCACATACACCACACACACATCATATACACAACACACAACAGATACAAACACCCCACACACATCACAAACACACCACACATACATCACACACACACCACATCATACCACATGCACATCACATACATACATACTTACACACACCACACTCACATCACATACACCACACACACATCATATACACTACTCACACAACACACAACAGATACAAACACACCACACACATCACAAACACACCACACATACATCACATACACACACACACAATTGTCATCACTGTAATTTTACACCACCCTATGAAATGCTTGATCTTAAGACCATAAGACGGGCCTCTTTCTAAGGACTCGAATTCTAATGTAGGTTTTGTTGATGTTCTCTCCAGCATTAGCCCAGTGCTGGCACACAGGAGTTGGCTATCAAGATAAATTAATTAAATAAATAAAAGGCAGGTGTCAGTGTTCTGTTTTCTTAGTCTTTAACAGGATTTGACCACTTACCTTTTCTTATTTACAGGCCCTTTGGCAACTGCTCCAGTTATAGCCACTCCAGTTGGTAATTTGAATGTTCTTTTGGTTCTGGGATAGTTGTAGACAAACAACTATTCACATCACTGAGTCTCCTTGACGTCCATCCAGTATCAATGGGGCATCCAGTCTCCATTATGCTGTTTAATCTAGGGAGATGGGCTGCTCATTCATTGTGTGGTATTAGACAGAGAACCTGTTCTATGATCATACTGACAATAACATAAAGATCAGTGAAAGGGCATTCATTTCATATGTGTATGCATGCAAGCATATGTATACTCGTGTGTATACAAAAGCCTCAGTGTGTGTTTGTGTAAAGGCACATATGTGTACATTATTTGTGCACGTGTGTATAGATCGCAGAATAATCAAAGATGTCTTTCTCAGAAATACCAACCACTTCCTTATAGACAGAGTCTCCTTTTGGCCTGGAGTTCACCAATGAGACTAGTCTGGCCAGGGAGCTCCAGAGATCCTCCTGTCTTTGCCTCCCCAGCGCTGGACTTATAAGTGTATACCAGCATGCCTGGAATTCTGTGTGGGTTCTAGGAATCAAATTCCGGTTCTTATGCTCTCAAGGCAAGTGTGTTGCCTATGGAGTCATTTCCCCAGCCCAGACACTCTGGCTACAATCTCCTGCTCACTGGGTTTACATACAGACATGTCTTTAACCTCGGCAGAAGAGGAGACCTCCCCTGGTAATGGTTTCTGATTGCCATGGTTTTTTTTTTTTCCATGTAAAATGTTTCCCCTTTGCTATTAAGCAAATGAACCAAGCTTGCCTCTTCCTCTTTGTCTGTAGACACATCTTCGACCTCAGCAGAATCAAGCCCTCCAAATGGTAAAGTCCCCTGTTGTGTTGTTTCTTATCTGTCTTGTTGTATTTAGAAGATGGCCCTTGTTAGTGATCATATCGGCCAAGAAGAAGAGACAGAGCCAGCATTTCCCTGCTCATTTTAACGCACCCTGTTTCCTGGCTTTCTACACAGATGCATCTCCAGTCTCAGCAGGAGAGGAAACACCCCTAGGTAACACTTTCAGCTTGTTTTTCTAAAGTTAAATAGACTAGGTGCTTTTCATCCTTCTGTTTGAAGGGTGCTCGTAAGTAAGCTGCTTCTTGTCTTTGTTTACTGACACTCCTTCAGTGCCAGCAGAAGCAACCTCTCCAACTGGTAAAGTCCTCCAGTGTTGCTTAGCCAAAGAGATGCGCTTGTTTTTGAAGGAGTTTACTAGCACGTTTAAGTGTGTGTGTGTGTGTGTGTGTGTGTGTGTGTGTGGCTTTATTTTGACCTCGGACACATATGTGCACAAAATACATTTTAAAAGTAAAATATATTTCCCTTATACTTACCCCACTACCCTCTCTTGTACCTACACTCCACTGATCTCCTCCTCTAATTTCACGAGCATTTTCTCTCTGTGTGAACTAGTGACTATGAATTGGGATATTTATGGGAGCATAGAAAGGGGTTATTTGCAGGAGCAGTGGCCAGACCACTGAGGAAAACGTCTCTCCCTCCCCTAGCCATCAGTTACTTAGAGAGGGGAAAGGCCTCGTAAGTGTCCACTCCCCACGACAGAATAATAGTAGGCTCCATCTGGTGCAGGTGTTGGGGCAGGTAGTCATGCTTCCTGAAGTTGCGATAGAGCCATAGGGACACCATGCCCAGAAGACAGCATGCCAAATCACTGTGAGCCTTCTCTGGCACTCATATTCTATTTGGCTCTTCAAGTTCTTCATTTATTCCTCATGAGTAAATGAGCTGCATGAGTCTTTATAAATAACCACAAATTTAAATGAAACTCAAGATCAACCCAATTCCTCTTCAACAATGTTCCCTGATCTTGGAGGGAATGACACAGCCCCACTTAGGGCTGAGCATTTAAGACCTTGGTTGTTAGCACTTTGAGCAGCTATGAATCTCTACAGTCACCACCACCCACTGCGAAAAGAAACTTCTCTGACCAAAGCAGAAACCAACACCAGTGTATGGGCGTAAACACAATAATTTAGGTGTCAACTTGGCAGCCATATCAATTCCATGTAGCAAGACAACAGCAGTAGCTGTCCCACTAGATCTACCATGTCCTCTATCATGGGCTTTTGAGCAGGTTTGCAGCACTAGAATCTCAGGGAGCAGCCTCAAATCCCAGCAGAAAAGATTTGGTGACACCCACCACAGTCATGCCACTCCTACACCAAGGGTGCATCTTGCCTGGCAAATCAGTAGTGTCAGATGCAGAATTCACAGCAGAGTAAGACTGTTCATGACAGTGCTTCCCCAACAGCCTGAATAAGACCATCCAACCCGGTAACAGTTGGCCAGGTGAAGAAAGCCTACAGCTCACTTCCACTTCGATTTCTGTATACCCAGAAAGCAAAGTCTGTGGTGTCTTCAGCAATAGAGGTGGATTCCTCATTTATCATGGCATATTTAGAAATTGATCCACTTAATGATCATATTGGCTACAAAGCAAGCATCCATGAAAAGACTCATTTTAAAGCATCCTGTCTCTGGGTCTGTACACAGATGCATCTTCATCTTCTGAAGAAGAGGAAGCATCCTCAGGTACTGTCTTTAGACTGTCACATTTCTTTAAGACAGTAGCCAGAGATTTTTTTCTTTCTGTTTGGTAATTGACCCTAGATAGGTTTCTTCTATTTTTCATTCAAATATGTGTCTTCAAGTTCAGCAAATGTGACTTCCTCAACTGGTAAAGTCTCCTGTGGGGCTATTTAACTAATGGGATAATATTCTTATTTGTCATGTATTTAGAAAATGAGCCTACTTAAGGATCAGAATGACTTCAAAGTAAAGATCAATGAAAGTCACTCATTTCTTCCGAGTATATGTGTACTATTCACATGTGAAGGTACATGTGTATGCATAGGTGCTTTTGTATGTGAAGACTAGAACAGGACCTTGTGTGTCATACTTAAGAATATCATCCACTTCCTTTAAGATAGGGTCTTTCACTAGCCTGGAGCTCACTAACTAGACCGAATGACTGGCCAGTCAGCCTTGTGGGTTCCCACGTCTCAGCCTCCCCAGCACTGAGACGCTCCCAGCGCTCCCAGCATTTTTAGGTAACTCCTGGGCATTGAGCTCAGTTTCTCCAGCTGAGCCATCCCTCCAGCCTGAGACATTAATTTTTTTTTTGAATTTTCGAGACAGGGTTTCTCCGTAGTTTTTGGTGCCTGTCCTGGAACTAGCTCTGTAGACCAGGCTGGTCTCGAACTCACAGAGATCCGCCTGCCTCTGCCTCCCGAGTGCTGGGATTAAAGGCATGCGCCACCACTGCCTGGCCCGAGACATTAATTTTAAAGCCTCATTTTTTTTTCTGGGTTTATACACAGACGCTTCTTCATCATCGGGAGTGACCTCCTCTGGTAAGGCTTTCCACTTGCCCTATTTTTTTAATTTAAATAAAGTGAGAGTTTTTTTGTCCTAATCGATAAACGATCTGGCTGTGCCTTTTCTTGTCTTTGCCTATAGACAGTTCTTCAACCTCAGCAGAAACAAGCTCTTCAAATGGTAAAGGCCCACATAGTGCTGCTGAGCTAATGAGATGAGTTTCTTCTTAGCCATGTTGTCTTTAGACAGTGAAGCTACGGAATGGTCACACTGAGCACACAATGAAGGTAGTGAAGACAGCCCAAGTATTGTGTACTCACGTTAGAGCATCTTGTTCTCTGTGCTTACACACAGATGCATCTTCAGCCTCCACGGAAGATGCCTCCTCTGGTAATGGTTTTCTTTTGACTGTCAAATTTTTTGTTAAACACAGTCAGAGCTTCTCCTCTTTCTGTGTGTTCATTTCCTCGTCTCTTTGTACACAGATACATCTTTAACCTCAGCAGACGTGGCGAGTGGAGAGCCAACTGGTAAAGTCCTTCACTGTGCTGCTGTATTTTAATTAATGAAACATGGGTTTTGTATTTGTAAGTCTTTATTATCCTGTATTAATTATGCACACAAGGTTAACTGTAGTATTTTCATACACTGTACACTATATTATCCCTCATTATTCTCTCCTCTCCCCTCACACTCTCTCATCTTTGTTTCTCTCCCCAGTTTGGCCATACTCTATGCTCATATCTTCATTTCATGAACTAGCCAGTTTAACTAGTCAGGTTTTTAGGGGATCCCCAGGAGGGAGTCATTTGCAAGATCATTGGCAACTTACCAAGGGCTGCACCCCTGAAAATGTCTCCTTCTCCCAGCAACCATTCAGGGCTTATGTATACTCAGGCAGGGGTGAGGTCTCAGGAGCGCCTCCCTCCTCTACAATGGGATGAGGAGAAGCCCAATCAAGTTCAGATTATCACAGCCGCAGAGAATTCGAGAGCCCAGCATTCATCTTCTCAACACTCCACAGTTTCCTCAACAACACTCCACGTTCTCCTCCAAGCTCCACGCTCGCCTCACGCTCCACGCTCGCCTCACGCTCCACACTTTCCTCACGCTCATTTTCTTCTTGCCACCCTCTCACCATAATGTTTCCTGACACTTGGAACGGGTGATACAGATGCCCCGTTCAGTGGTGAATGACTGTCAGAACTTCGACTAGTTATAAGTCTGTGCAGTAGCTACCAACCACTACAGGAAGTAGCTTCTCAGATCAAAACTGACAGCTGTGCTAATCCATGGGTATAAATGTAAACATCTCAAAGAAAAACTGATACGCACACCATGTTCACTTAGCAATAAAATGAAAGTGGCTTTAGCACTAAACATCTCCAGGTCAGGTTTACAGTACCAGACATAAATCCCACTCCCTATGTGGACAACCTTGAGTCAACCAGAAGGAAGTTGGTTACCCCCATACCAGTTATGTCTGTCACTCTCATGTTAGCAGGCACATCTTTCCTGGAAGGTCAATCTTGTAGCCTGCAGGGATCACGGCTGAGAAATGCTGCTGCTGACAGTTCTTCCCCAGAAACCTATATAGTGTCTTCCAACACTGTGAAAGCTAGCCAGCAGCGAGAAAGCTGGCAGCTAAGGTCCAGCTTTATTTCTGCATGTCCTACAAGCAAAGTGTGTGGCGTTTTCAGCAATAGAGATGCTTTTCCTATTTGTCACATCCGACTTAAAAGATGCACCTCGTTAAAGACCATAATGACCACAAAATAAATATCAACAAAAGCCACTCATTTTAAAGCATTTTGTTCTCTGGATTTATACACAGATGTATTGTCAGCCTCAGCAGAAGAGAACTCCTCTGGTAATGTTTTCTCACTGTCAATTTTCTTATTAAGCAGTGAGAGATTTTCCTCTTTCTATTTGGCAAAGGAATCAAGGTATAGCTCCTCCTTTCTACCTACAGCGATTTCATCAAACTCAGCAGATGCAAGCTCTTCAATTGATTAGTCCCCCATCGTAATGGTTTACTAATCAGGGAGTTTTCTTATTTGCCACATTGAGTTTAGAAAATAAGCCTACTAGTGATCACACTGATCACAAAGCAATGACTAAAGAATGCTTGTGTGCACATGCGTGCACGAGTGTGTGCATGTGCTCACGTGCTTATGTGAATGCACTCATGTGTTTCTCAGACGCTCATGCACCTGAGTGCACACATATGTGGAGGCTGGAGGAAAATGTTGGGTATCAAAAGCACAGTTCCTCCATCCTTTGAGATGGGTCTCTCATTGATCTCAGAGTCACAAGTTTTCAAGGCAAGTGCTGCACCTACTAAGACATCTTCTCATACCAGGACACTAAGATTACAACTTTCTATTTTCTGGCTTTCTACACAGAGGCATCTTCAGGCTCCGCAGAAGACACCTTCTCTGGTAATGCTCTGTCTGTCATGTTTTTACATTAAACAATGACAGCCCTTTCTTTTCGTATTTGGTAAATTATCTAAATACTTATATCCTTTTTGATTGTAGACACTTCCTCAGCCTCAGCCGAATCCAGCTCTTCAACTGGTAATGTCCCCAATATTCTGTTTAACAAAATGAATTTCTTTTCAGTCATGCCGTAATTAGAACATGAGCCTATTTAATAACCATATTGATCACCAAACAAAGCCCAGTGGAAGAAAACTCATCTTTCACATGCTTATGGATGCTTGTATGGAGCCCACGAGCACCGTTCTGCACGTGTGTGTGAGGCTGAAAGATGACCTCAGATGTCATCCTTGGGAACATTTGTTCACCCCCTTTGAGGCAGGGTCTCTCCTGGAGCTCACTATTAGGCTAGGGCAACTGAACACCCAGCTTTGGGGATCCTCCTTGCTCTGTGTCCACTTTGCTGGGAAGACAGTGCACACAACTTCTCCCCGCATTTTTATGTGGGTGCTCTGGATTGATCTCAAGTAGCACGATTATAAGGTAAGCACTTTGCACGCTGAGCCATGCCCCCAGTCCAATATACTAATTTTAAAGCACCCTATTTCTGGGTTTATATATAGATGCATCTTCATCGGCAGAAGAGTCATCCTCTGGTAATGTTTCTGCCTGTCATATATCTTAAATACAGTCAAAGATTTTATGCTTCCTGTTTGGCAAAGGACTTAGCCATGTCACTTTTTTCTCTGTCTGTAGGCACTGCTTCAACCTCAGCAGACTCAAGCTCTCCGAATGGTAAAGTACTCCATTGCAATGTTTATGCAGTGAAGAAATTTCTTATTTGCTATGGTATATTTAGACAGAAAGTTTATTTAATGACCACATTAACTACAAAATAAAGATGATAGCAAAAAAAATAAACCAACCCCAGTATAATTTTATTCATTTCAAAACGTCCTGTTCTCTGACTTTATATACAGATGCATCTACAGTCTCCACAGAAGATACCCCCTCTGGTAATATTTTCTGTTTCTCATGATTTTACTTAAAACAAATGACAGTCTTTTCTCTTTCTATTTGGTAAATTCTCTAAATATTTATTTTTATTTGTCTGTAGACACTTCTTCAGCCTCACCAGAACCCAGCTCTCCAACTGGTAATGTCCTCAATATTCTGTTTAACTAAATGAAATGAATTTCTTATCAGCCACAACAGAGGTCTCCTCTGGTGATCTTTTCATCCCATCACAGCTCTTAAGTGAAACACGATCCTAGTTTTTCCTCTTTCTTTTTGGAAAGTGATCACACATATATTTCCTCTTCTCTTTGCTCATAGATATGTCTTCAGCCTCAGCAGAAGGGAGGAGTGGAGAGTCAACTGGTAAAAATCCTTCACAGTGTTTTCTTGACAATGAAAAGCTTTTTTTTTTTAAAAAAAAATCTTAACTATGTGTATTGGGTGTGCATATATTTATGTACATATGAGTGTTTGTGCCCATGGACACCAGAGACTTGGGATCCAACTGGAGCTGGAGTTGAAGACAGCTGAGAGCCACTAATGTGAGTTAGTGCTGGGACATGAACTTGAGTCCCCTGGAAGAACAGTACTCAATCTTAACCATAAAGCAACCTTTCCAGCTCAGCATGTATAATAACATTTAATTATATATAACAGTGAATTCCATCATGATATTTTTATGTGTGTATGTAGCATATTTAATGATACTCACACCTAGTGTTTCGTCCAGCCCTCCTCACACTCCTCCTAACCCTGTTCCTCTTCCCAGCAATGACCTCTTCTTCTTTGCTGCCTTTTCACTTTATGCACTAATGAGTTGATTTGGGTTACTGGAGAAGCAGAGTTGAGGGTTATTTCTCAAAGTACTGGCAACTTAGCAGTGGCTGTGCCACTCAAGTAAATGTCTCTCCTCCCACAACAATCAGATTTTGTATGGACTCTTAAGGAGTGGCAGGCCTCATGAGTCTCCCACTTCCAGGGCAATGATTATATGTTCAACCTTGGGCAAGTCATGTGCAGATAAACACATTGGTGGAGAGCTCAAGAGTACAATTGTGCCACTCCATATCCAGAAAATAATGTACACAGCACTCCATCTCTTCCTCTAGCTTTTACACTTGCTTTGGTTTAAAGTTTTTTTTAATGTGTTCTTCATGATGAAGTATGAACCATTAGAACCAACTATAACTTTATCTGTAATCATGATAAACCTGTCTACCTTACCTGCTACTCCCTGATCTTGGCAAGGAAACAGAAGTGCCCAATTTAAGGCTGAGCATTGAAGTTACTTGTTGTCATGACTTTGACCAGCTATGAGTCTCTACAGTAACTACTAACCATTGCAAATAGAAGCTTTGTTGACCGAAGCTAAAAACCAGTACTCATCACAACACAATCACTAAGATGTCAATTTGACAACAATGTCCCATCCATGAAGCCAAACAGCAACTGTAGCTTTGCCACTAGAACCCATCACCTCTGGTACGTTATGGTACCGAACTCATAAAGCAGCCTCACATCCAATCAGAAAAGAGTTGGCTACACCTACAACAGTCATGCCACTGTTACACCAGTGGACGTATCTTGCCTGGAAAGTCAGTACTGCAGCCTGCAGCATTTACAATGAGGAATGTTGCTGCTGACAGCTCTCCCCCAGCAGCTTGCATGGCATCTTCAAAGTCTATGGAAGCTAGCCAATGGGGAGAAAGCTTCCCGCTCAGTTACAGCTTCATTTCTGCATGTCCTGCCAGCAAAATGTATGGTACCTTTAACAACAAAAAAGCTTTTCTTGTTTGCCATTTATATTTAGGAAATTAATATACTTAAATCATATGCCACAATGCAAAGATCAATGAAAGATAGTTTTTTTTTAAATCATTATTTTCTCTGGGGTTTACACACAGATGAATCATCAGCCTCAAAAGAAGAGACCTCTTCAGGTAATGTTTTCAACTTGTCACATCTAGTAATTTAAACATAATCAGAGTTTCCCTACTTTTCATTAGAAAAATAATCTAAGTATGCCTATTCTTCTATGGGTCTATAGCTATTTCTTCAACCTCATAGAAGCAAGCTCTCCACCTGATAGGCTTCCTTATTGTGCTGCTTGTATATTCAGATAGTTTGTCATATTGTATTTATTTAAAAAATAACCCCAGTTAAGGATTACATTGTGCAAAGATTTAAAAATGCAAAAATATCAATTTTCTGTGTGTGCTTTTATGTTCTTGTGTGATGGTGCATGCATCTGTGATAGTGTATGTACACAATAGTGTTATTGCACATGTATGTGGATGCTGGAGGACAATGTTGGGCTTCAATTTTAGGAGCACTATCCATCTCCTTTGGGACAGATTCTCTCATTGGCCTGAAGCTCACTAAATAGGTTAGAGTGACTAGCTAAAGGCACGGGGTTCCTCTTGCCTCTGTCTCCCAGTGCTAGGATGCAAGTACACATTACTCCAGGCAGCTTTACATGGATTCTGGGAATTAATCTCAGAGTCACGAGTTTTCAAGGCAAGTTTTTGACTGAGGTTTCTGTCCTACCAGGTTCCACAGCCAGTTAGTCCCAAATAAACACACAGGTCTACACAAATCATAAACTGGTTGGCCTATTAACTAGGGCTTCTTATTAACTCTTATAACTTATATTAGTCCATAATTCTTGTCTGTGTTAGCTAGGTGGCTTGGTACCTTTTTTCAGTGAGGCTTTCTCATCTTGCTTCCTCTGTGTCTGGATGACAACTGCTGACTGTGTCTTTTCTCTTCCCAGAATTTTCCTGTTCTCTGCACCCTGCTTCTCTTTCCTGCCTGGTCACCCCGCCTATACTTCCTGCCTGGCTACTGGCCAATCAGTGTTTATTAAAAATAATACAAGTGACAGGATAAAATGCTATTGTCCCACAGCACTTCCCCCATTCTTTTTTAAATAAGAACTCTTTATCTAATATTCTTTGTTTAGCTTCTCTCCTGACCATTGTCCATAACAACTTGTAACCAACATTCTAAACAAAGGCAAACATCCACAATGTATTTTTGGGGAATGTGGGCATAGTTTTCTAGGCTACTTCCTGCTGATTGTGGGCACTGATAATCTTATGGCGACTTAAAGAAAATTTTGAATTATGGTCAGGAATTATGTTTGTTTATAAAAAAGATGTGCTGTGGGACATGGTCTTTTATCCTGTCGCTTGTATTATTTTTAATAAATGCTGGCTGGCCCGTAGCAAGGCAGGAAGTATCGGTAGGGTGGCCAGGCAGGAAGTAGAGGCAGGGTGATGAGAACAGGAGAATTCTGGGAAGAGGAAAGGTCAGTATGCATTTGTCACCCAGCTGCAGAAGAAGCAAGATGAGAATACCCAAGCCATGTGGTGACACAGATGAGAGTTACAGGCTCATATAAGTTATAAGAGTTAATAAGAAACCTGAGCTAATAGGCCAATCAGCATTTTATTAAACAAGTACAAGAAACAAATCTTTACAGGGTAAAACCATTGTCTCACAGCAGCAAGTGCTTTGCCTACTGAGCCATCTTCTCAACCCAAGACACTAAAATCACAGCTCCCTATTTTCTGACTTTCTATCCAGATGCCTCTTCAGTCTCCACAGAAGATACTTCCTCTGGTAATGTCTTCTACCTGTCATGATTTTATGTTAAACAAATGACAGCCTTTTATCTTCCTATTTGGTAAATTATCCAAATATTTATTTCTTTTTGTCTGTAGCTACTTCTTCAGGCTCAGCGGAATCCAGCTCTTCAAATGGTAAGCCCCTCCATTATGCTGCTTAGTCAATGAAGAAATTCCTTATGTGTTGTGTTGTATCTGAACAGTAAACTCATTTAATGTTCACATTAATCATAAAGTGAGTGAAAACTACCCCAGCATCACTCGACTCATTTCAGAGCATCCGGTTCTCTGGGTTCACCCACAGATGCATCTTAGTCACAGCAGAGGTCTCCTCTGGTGATCTTTTCACCCCATCACCGCTCTTAAGTGAAACAAGAGCCTAGTTTTTCCTCTTTTTGTTTGGAAAGTGATCACATGCATATTTCTTTTTCTTTTTGCTCAAAGATATGTCTTCAACCTCAGCAGAAGGGAGGAGTGGAGAGCTCAGTGGTAATGTACTTCACTGTGTTGTTTCAACTAATAAGTGATTTTGTTTTAACTTTTAGCACATGTTAATTTTACATGATAATGAGTTTGTTGTGATAATCTCAATCTTGTGCATAGTGTGCTTTAATTATATTTACCTCTGTCTCCCTCCCCCAGTCCCCTCATACTTTACTAATTCACAGACAACTTAACAGTGGCCATAACACTGAGGATAGCCCTCCCTGCCCCCCCACTCTCCCTCAGCAACCATCAGCTGCCTATAGATCCTCAGGGAGGGATTAGGCCTCATGAGCATCTCTTTCCACAGTGGAATGATGATAAACCCAATCTTGTGCAAGTCTTGTGTAAATAATCATAGCTCCTGAGAGACAAGAGTGCAACTTCTATGTTTGCCCAGAAGACGATGTTCTAGAATACCTGAAGATTTCCTCCTAATGTTACTTTCTTTCTTCCCCATTTCTCATTATTCTCCTGATACCTGGGGAGGTCATATTGAAGACTCATTTGGGGATAAGCATACAATTCATTTATTCTCAGCACTTTGACCAGTTGTAAGTCTCTGTAAAACCCAGAAACCCTTGCAAAAGTAAACTCCTCTGCAAAAGCCAGAAACAACACCAACCTATAGATGTGACTATAAGTATTTAGGAGTCAATTTCACAGTCACATTGTGTCCACTTAGCAACACAACGGCAGTGCCTTCCCCACTGCGACTTGTCATCACACAGACCAGGTATGCAATACTAGATATAAATTCCCTTCCTTGGAGGGGGCTTCAAGCCCAGTCAGAAAGCAGTTGGTTACCCCTGTAACAGTCATGAACTCTTATATCTGTGAGTACATCACGTCTAACATGATAGTAGCATAGCATTAAAGGTTCACAGTTGAGTAAGCCTTTTTATGGCTATCATCCCCCAGCTGCCTAAATAGAACCTTCCAGCACTGTGAAAACTAGTTAGCAGAGAGGAAGCTTCCAGTTGAGGGCCAGTTTTTTTTTTCATATCCTGCAACCCAAGAATTTGTGTCTTCATTAATGTACCTGTGTTTCTTATTTTCATGTTGTATTTGGAAAATGAACCTACTTAATGGTTGTATTCACCACAAACCAAAGATCAATGAAAAGATGTCTTTTTAAGCATCATGCTTTGTGTTTGTACACAGATGCGTCTTCAATCTCTGCAGAAGAGACGTCCTCTGGTAAGACTGTCTATCACATCTCTTAAGGTAAACACAGTTCAGACTTTCCCCTATTTGGCAAATGGATACAGTTGTGTGTCTCCTTTTGATCTCCAGATACATCTTCAACCTCAGCAGAATCGGGTTCTACAACTGGTAAGTCCCCCTGCCCTGCTGCCTGATATACTGGGCTGAGTTTATCATTTGTCATATTAGACAATGAGACTATTTAATGATCACTTTGGCATCAAATACAGATCAGTGAAAGAAAACTCATTTTAAAGTACTCCCTTCTCTGGGTACCTCCACAGATCCATCTTCAACCTCGGCAGAAGAGGCAAGCTCCTCTGGTAATGTTTTCTGTTATCACATTTCTTCTTTTAAAAAAAAATTCATGATTTATTTTGGCCACTTTTTAAAACATTGACAAATATGGTGATTAGCTTCAGTGTGTCATTTTTATACACTCTGTTGTCATCACCCCACACACAGTGTATTTGTAACATTCCATTCCAGGAAGCCCCTCTCTGTTTTGTCACGTGTTCTATTACCACCTTTCTTTCTTAAAACTTTTCTCCTCCGACAGCCCTTCTTTTGTTTGTTGACCTATATCTGCCAATATATATAAACTAAAACCTGCACATGAGAGAGAATGTGGTTTTCTCTTTCTGAGTTTGTTAACTCATATAATAACTTGCAGTTCCATCGGGGTTTTTTAGAGTTCATAATTTCATTTTTCTTTATAGTTGAATAAAATTATAGCTGAATAAAATTATAGTTGAATAAAATGCAAATTCCATTGTGCATATGTACCACACTTTCATTGTCCACCCATTTGCTAATGAATGTCTAGATACTGTGAATATCGTAGCACTAAACTGGATGTGCAAGTGTCTCTGTGCTAGGGCTTAGATTCCTTGGGTATGCATTGAGCAGTAGCATACTTGGGCCATATGGTAGTTCTAATTTTAGTTGTTTGCGAACCATCCACGTGGATTTCATAGTGGCTCTGGCTGTTTTCACTTCCACGAGGAGCGAATGAGTTTCCCCCACATCTTCATCAACATTTGGTCATTGAATTTCTTGATGACAGCCATTCTGAATGTGTCAAGAAGGAAGTAGTCTTTCTTTAAATTATGTGTATGAGTCTGCATGTAAGTATGTAAAGATGTGAAGGCAGGTGCTCTCTGAGTCCATAAGAGGCTGTTGAATCTCTAGAGCTAAGATCACAAGCCCTGACGTGGGTGCTGGAAACTGAGCTTGAGTCCTCTGCAAGAGCAGTACTTGTTCTTAACCACTGACCATCTCTTCAGCCCTAGAAGTAGTCTTACCTTGTACTTTCCTGATGGGCTAAGGATGGTGAACAACTTCAAACATATTTGTTGGTCATTTGCATTTCTTCCTTGTTGAATTGTCTATTCAGATGTCAGCCCATCCTTTGATTGAGAGTTTGAGGACCCAGGGATTTCATTTTTACAGTCCTTCATGTATTCTAGAATACAGTCACCTGTCTGAGTTAGCTGGAGATTTTCTCCCATTTTGTGAACTGTGTGCTCACTCTGCTGATGGTTTCCTTTGCTGTGCAGAAGCTTTTAAGTTTTGTGTAGTCCCATTTTTAAATAATTTAATTCAATTACTCTGCTAATAGAGTTCTGTATAGAAAGTTGTTGCCTATTTCTGCATCTATAAGCATTTTCCCATGTTATCTTCTAGACATTTCCACATTTTATCTTTTACTTTAAGGTTCTTGATCTATCTTGAATGGATTTTGTGCAGAGAGTGAGAGATACAGATCTAATTCTATTCTTCTGTAGCCACCAAACTTGTTGACCAGGCCTTTTCTCTCTATCATGTGTTATTTCCTGACCCCAAGGGTTAAGATTTTATTTACCAACCCTTTTCTTGTTGCTGAACATAAACTAAAAGCATTGTTAAAATCTTGGAGTAACTGGTCAACACAGTTGCCTGAACAATAGTAACTATCCATACTTCAGCAAGAGACTTACTTGAAAAATGAACCTTTACAGTTTTGTTGAAGCAGGGTTTCCAAGATTGGTGTTGGTGATCCCTACTGCCAATGAGAGGTTAAGTGGGGGACAGCAGAGTGTCACAGGAACACTCATTGGCTCCTTGAGTAGGTGGGTCTCCTGGACTTTGTGTCAAGGCTTTTCTAAACATCTACCAAAGCTACAAACAACGCACTGATGCAGATCGACCAATTGATTCTGCTTTTGCAAGTGATTTGATGTATTAATAATCTCCTTCACCATCTGTTCTCTCTCTCTCTCTCTCTCTCTCTCTCTCCTCTCTCTCCCCACCTTTCCTGCTTTCTTCCTCATCTTCATCAGCTTCTCCATCATGTCCTTATTCTTCTCCTTCACCGATAGCTTCAGGTTTGCCATCTTCTCCTTCTATACCATCATTCTTTTCTTCATCAAACTCTTTTTTCTCACCGTCCTCATCTTCTTCATCCTCCTTCTCTTGATCATAGCATCAAACTCTGTATCTGAGTCAGGGGGTTCCTGGTTTTCTTGGTGACAATCAGTTGGTACAGGAGATTTAGAACACTCAGTAATTATTCAGATTAGTAGCCTCATGTTCAACAAATCCACTTATTTTTTTTAGGTTTCCTAAGGTTTTAAAGGTCTCAAGATGCTGATATCCTTCCATTTATTTTCACTTCCATCTAGATGTGTGAGATTTAAGTGTGTCTTTCTCAATAAGTCCAGACCTCTAGATAATCTACTATCTCTGAGCTTAAGCTCAAGCTTTTTTATTTTAGTAGCATGCAGATATTTGAACCTGACATCAAGCTCACACTAATTAAAATGACAAAACCTAAATCCACAAATTCTGCTGTTGGACTCTAGAGTTTTCCATCATTTGATTTTCAGTTGTTCAAGACAATCCCTCTAACAGCTGGTTCCTCAGCTTTTGGTAGATCATCTTCCTCATGTCCATGGTCCCTTTGTGACTTGTCTTCAAATTTAACTTCCCATGGTGGGAGTGAAGACGGAAGTGGTGTCCTTGACTGGGTGGCCAGGACTGTGAGAGGAGTTGGCAGGTAGTCCAGTCTGGAACAGCAGAAGGCATGCAGTTGTCCTTCTGCTGATGAGTGTGGCCCCTGGGGCTTCTTCTATCTCATGGGTTCTTAGGCTTGATCTCTTGCAACTTGAGTCATACTTGTTAATTTTCCTTCTTTATGTATTTCAGGCTGTGTTATTGTCTCAGCTTGTTGTAGAACCCTGACATTCATTCTTCTGCTTGGTCTTGTCCAATGGGGATGCTTTCTGCTGGGCTTTCACTGAGAGACTCTTTTAGTTCCAGAATTTCCATTGGCTTTTCCAGTGCCAGTCCTGTGAACTGTTCATAGCTAATACAGGCCAGGAGGTCAGCCCCGGGGGCAGTGTCCCAGCTGGGGGCCAGCAGCAGGCTGACCAGCTCCTTTTCCTGCTTCAGTTCACACTGAGTTCACATGTGACCTAGTCTCCCATAGTGCCCTTTGTGGGATACACTCTCTGAGAAATACAGCTCACAGTGGATACTGGGTCAGAGAACTGTCCGGAGTGCTGTAGGGGCACACTAAGTCCTTCTCCTCAAATATGTTCATGCATATACATCACAGCTTCTAATTCCCCATCTTATCCAGACGTTCACATTTCTTAAACACAAGAAGAGCCTTTCCCTTTCTATTGGGCAAATGTCATTGTTATGTCTCGTCTTTTTGTCTGTAGATACTTCTTCAACCTCAGCAGAAGCGAGCTCTCTAAATGGTAAATCCCCATTGTGCTATTTCAACTAAAGAGATGAGTGCCTTATTTATTAGGTTTATTTCAAAACTGAATATGCTTAACAATCCTATTGACCACAAAGTGAAGATAGTGAAAACCGCCCCCAGTGTCATTCAGTAGGATTTCAAACATCCTGTTCTTTGGGTTTACACACAGAGGCATCTACAGTAGCAGTAGAGATGTCTGGGAATCTTTTCAGCCTGTCACATCTTTAAGTTAAATAGTCAGGGCTCTCTGCTTTCTTCTGGCAAATGAACCTAGCTCTGTCTCTTCCACTCTTTGTCTGTAGATACATCTTCAGCCTCAGCAGAACTGACCTCTCCAGGCGGTAAGTCCACAGTGTTGTGTTCAAACTTCGTAATGGGCTTCTTGTTTATCATGTTGTATTGAGAAAATGAGCTTGTTTAATGATCTCCTTGTCATCAAATAAATGTTAATCCAACAACATTCACTTAAGGCATTGTGTGCTCTGGTTTACACTGAGATGCTCCCGAGATCTCTGGGAATCTGTCCAGCCTGGCACCTTTCTTAACTGAAACACAACTATAGCTTTTGCTCTTTCCATTTGGAAATGAAACCTCTGTGTCCTAAACTTTGTCTACAACATAAGCTTAACATACACAGAAAACCCAGATCTTCCCCACAGAGGATTCATGTTTTCTTCACTCAGTCACAGACGCCGAAGTGACCCTTCTACGGCAGGTACCTTCTGCCCATGTCCTAGTATTGATCAGATGAACCTGAGGGAGGCTGGGCAGAGGGTCCACATCTCATTTGATTGGTTGTGTTGTTTCAGATCATGCTTCGACCCAACCAGCACACCAGAACACACACACACACAGACACACATGCACACACGCACACCAAATAGGTTGTGACAAGAATTCTTTTTATTTGTTCTTTTGTTTTACACCATACTGTTGGTCAAATCAAAACATTCTTTTCCCTTTTCCACTTCAGTTGAGGCCCCCCTTCTTCCCTAGGTGTGTTTCCTGCTCATTGCAGCCCCCAGGGGAGCCACTTACAGCCAAACAAAAATAGGCCCAGAACAGCGCTGCCCATAGCTCCTGTTTCTCCAGGAGAAGTCAGAAGAGAGGGAATTGGTGATGAGAGAGGCCGGTCAGCTCCCCTAGAGCACAACAGGCCTCCACAGCTGATAAACACTGAACTCTGTGCTGGCCGGTAGATACTGGAGACAGGATGAACAAGCTAATGGAGCCTCAGCCACAGATCCAGGAGGAGAGTGGAGAAATGATCTCTTATTTTCAGAGGAAAAGGAGTCACAGAGAGGAAGCATGCTTGCTTAAGATCACCGAGCTAAGGCCAGACAAACCAGGTTCGCAGCTCTCAGCCAAGGCTCTTCCAAGACCCAGGACTTGCTGGAGAATCCTCTGACCCCTGTGTCATTTCCGTCTTCAGGAATAAGCCCTCTGATGCTCTGTCTGTCATTAAGTGACCCTTAACCCTTACCTTCCTTCTTTTCCAGTTCACCACCCCGAGCCCAGCATAAATGCAATCCTCACTTATGCTCTCAAAATACAGAGCAGTTAGAAAGAGCATGGGGCCCTGGGGCTTGAGGGTTATGCTGAGAATAGCCTGTTCCTGTTACACAGGAGACTTCCTCTGAAGTCTCCATTTTTTTTTTCAATGCTAAAGCAATGATAAATTTTCCCAGATTAGTCTTTGTAAGTGTTAAGGGAGTGGCTTATCTGGCTTGCTGGAACTGTGCACCAGAAGAATGATCGTAAGCTGTGTTCCACAACACCAGCTTCTCATACGCCCTGCCGTGCCGACACGTGGAAACACATGATAAGTGCATACCGCTCTGGAATAGCTATTATTGTAGACCTGACAGTTCTCATGTAAAATGTCAATGAAGTCACATACCAATCCATTCTTTACACTGCTTTTCTTTTTTTTCAGACCCAGTTCCAGCCCTGACAGAAGTGACTCCGCCGCCTGGTAACGATCCCCATGCTTGTTGCTGGAGTGAAGCTCCGTTCTCTACGTTATGCCGTCCCGTTTCATCTCGCCATCGCTTCCTAACTTCTCTTCCCTGCTTCCCTCTGTGTAGTTGAATAGAATATTCCATCTTTCTCACTTAAAACTGCACCCGAGGAACATCCTCCTCCCCTTTGTTCTCTGCCCTTATAAACTGTTCCCTAATGCTGGATAGGGTGGAACACACCCTTGATTGTGGTCATTCAGGAGGCAGAGGCCCGTGAGTTTCGGTGGGTTTGAATCAGCTTAGTCTATATAAGAAGTTCCAGGGGCTAGCCAGGACTAAGAAGTGAGACTTTGTCTCAAAAAAAAAGTTGCCTATAAAACTGAATGGTATATTTTTCCTTGAAAAAATTAGCATATAAAGTTCTTTTTGAGCATTTAACAAGTTGTTTTTGCTCTTGGAGAATACACAAAACATAACAATATTTGTCACAGTTTGATACCATGATATCATATCAAGTAAAACATCATGGACTGCATTCCTGTGCTCAACTATTGGGGTCTGAAATAAGAGAGAGATTCCTCTTCAGCTCGAAGCTGAAACGTGAGCCGTTGAGGGTGCGCATTTGTAAGCCTCTAACCTTTTATGTTGATGAGACAATGACCCCTTTGCCCGGCAGGCTTTGTTTCTTTCTACTCGCTAATATAATAAGGCATCTGTTGATACTGCCAGGATCACATTTCTCTTTCATTAGATTTCTCACACCTTACAGGAAGAGGGTTATGAGCCTGTAGGTGTATTACCCACCGACATATGCACAGTGTGGTCACACAGGTTTGGCAGTCACCTTCAGGACCTCCCTCAGAAGACACCGTGTGTATTCACGAGTCATACTTTTCTCATTGCTCAGTGCAGGTCAGGACCTCACCCGTGCTGGGCTAACACTCTCTCGAATGAACTGCACCCTTGACCCATTCTCCTAGCGGTTCAAGTATCCTGCTTTTGGTATTATAATACCAAGTAGATCAAGAGAGGGCAGCTAGAGTAGACCCTCACACTGTAGTCAGAACTAATGCCTGTGGATTTAATATTCACTAAGCCTTTTCTTTGGGCCAAACAGTGCAGGGCTGACTAGTTACTACAGAGACAAATCACCTGGTAACTGTCTGTAAGCAGGGCACCTCACAGATACAGCCATGTATATACACGTATGGTAATATAGTCATGCCTCCTACAGGGATGTTTCCATCAACAATGGAATATGCATATATACATACAACAGCAATTTTTAGACTGTGTCCTAGTGACCCCACAGCCGACTTCTTGTGTGTAACAACAAAGTCTCCTAACTGCGCATTTCTCATGATAGATCCTCGTGATTAAGCAACACAGCTGTATAGGTTTTGCTTTTGTATTGTTTTCTATTCAAAATTAAGCTTTTTTAAAAAGTAGATATATGTGGTAGTGCCTCGTGGATGAACACCGAGGTTGTTGCCCGTGTACAACTCCCAGAGAATCCTGTGGGAGCTCAGTCTGTGTATAAGGGTAGAATGGCTAAATTACATAATACAGCTTTGTTGTTAAGGTGTTGCCTCTTAAGAATACTAGTATTAGCCGGGTGGTGGTGGCGCATGCCTTTAATCCCAGCACTTGGGTGGCAGAGGCAGGCAGATCTCTGTGAGTTCGAGGCCAGCCTTGTCTACAGGAGCTAGTTCCAGGACAGGCTCCAAAGCTATAGACAAACCTTGTCTCGAAAAAACAACAACAACAAAAATACTCGTATTAAGTGTAATTTAGGGGTGTAGAGAAGGACCTCACTGCAAGAGTCTCCCTGAGATAGTGTCTACTATAGAAACCTGACTTGAACTTCTCTCACTCCGCAGACCTGCCTCTGCGCCTGGTAGGCGGGCGAAGCCGTTGTGAGGGCCGGCTGGAGGTGCGGCACCAGGGGGTATGGGGAACTGTATGCGATGACCGCTGGAACATCAAGAATGCCAGAGTTGTGTGCCGCCTCCTGGGCTGTGGTCATGCGCTGGGCGCCCCTGGCAGAAGCCACTTTGGGGCAGGCACAGGCCCCATCCTGATGAATGAAGTGCGCTGCTCTGGCTTGGAGGACTCTCTGGAGAGCTGTGCCCATGCTGGCTGGATAAGGCACAACTGCCACCACCGTGAGGATGCCAGTGTAGTCTGTGCAGGTAGGGGCCCCTGTGCAGGTAGGGGTCTAGGCCTGTAAAAGTCCCAGGTTCTGCCTCAGCACTACCCATCCTTAAAACAGGTATCATTTGGCCATTCATGACATTTTAGGACAAAGACCTAGTGGTAGTGACATTTTGATCATTGCCCTGACTTTCATAATGAACTTGCTCTAATCCCAGCTCTAAAGAAGGGGATGACAATGTCACAGAATTATTAAGACATAGCAATTACTATGGCCAGGCACAGTATATCCTGTTACATTCTCAGTCTCTGAGCTTACCTGGGGTCCCATCCTGGAGATATTATGTAACCCCCAGAGTCTAAAACACCCTCCACAGTGTCCCAGCTTCACTCTGTCCTTTGCATCAAAGCTATTTGCCTGTATCTTCCCTGGAATATAGTTTATCATCAGCTGTGTTGGTCTTGGCATTCTGACCACCACCTGTAGGGTCCAGTACCTCCTTCTGATCATTCTAAGTTACCCCCAAACTGGCCCATGACAATTTCAGAGAGTTAGGGAATTCTAAGACTTGAAGAATCCTGAATTCACCTCATCTATTCTGTTGCAACTTTTATTACAGGTAAACAAACCACGCTCATTGCTTTTGCCTTGAATAAGCCCTGTTTTGCATAGACGTGGGCCCCAAATAGAAACAACATCAGAGCCCCTGAAGCCAAGCACTACCCAAGAAATAGAAGCTATGTCTGCCTATTCTGGAGTCTACACCTTCCAGATTTTGGTTGTTCTCGTGCTTCGCAGTTCAGACTTCCCTCTCAGAAGCCCACTTTTAATAAGAACCCACACGCTGTTCTTGGACGGTACACCAAGGTGGCCGCATTCCAGCCATGACCCATGTCCAAAGGGATCTGTTGTATCTAAAGCGCTTGGGTGAATTTGATGCACACTTCCTGGTCTGAGCCTTGGCCCTGGGACACAGTCCTGTCTTGATTCTGAGCCAGAGAAATCACTGATATCCTGAGAATTCATTTCTCTCCTCCTGGGGCCCTGAGCATGCTTGGATGTAGAAAGAGACAGAAACCAGAGCTCGCCCATGCAGTGGGGTTTGCAGTCCCCATTCTTCTGCTCCCACAAATCTTGATGTTGATAACATCTATGTTCTCAGCACCACTTCACCTGGGTCAGGTTTCATCTCTGTCTCTTTATGTTGCATGGTCTGGGATGTCCTCATTCCACCACACTCCAGCTGCAATGGTTTGTCTACAGATGACTGACTGTCCTCTGGTGTTTCAGACTTGTGACATTCGCTTTTCATCTCTCCTAAACAGGTCAAGCTGACGCTCTTGTGCCCAAGGATAATGGTAAGTCATCATCCTCCTGGGGTCTGAAGCTGATTGGGAAAGGAATTAAGAGAGTAGCTGAGTGGAGAGAAGAAGCAGGCTAGGAGGAAGGCCCACTAGCCTAGACAGCCAGAGGGCGGTGAAAAAGCCCCTTTGTACTTGGGCTCTTTCCATTTTCGCTCCCACACTTCTTCCAGGTTCTTCTCTGTGTGACAGACCAGACAGATACAAGTTCAGATTGGGGGGTCATGAGTTGTCCTTTAGCTCCTATGCGAGGCTCTGACCTCTGGCCTATGGGGTATGGGTTGTAAGCAGGATTCCCTATTGATATGGCCTGATTTCAAAGCCCTCCCCCTTTTTGTAAGGATATTAAAAAGCCAATAAAAATCAGGGCTATCGAGACACCTCTGTTGGTAAAGTATTAGCCATGCAAGCATGAGGACTTGTTTGATCCTGAGCACCCACATAAAAGTCAAGCACAGTTGTACGCATCTGTAAGCCCAGCCTTGGGGAGGTGAGGACAGGAGGAGCATTCTGGGGTCTTACCGGTCAACCAGTGGAACCAAACCAGAAAGCTCCAGGTTAAACGAGAGACCTTGTCTCCAAAACTACAGTAGACAGTCATCAAGGAAGATATCCAACATTCACCTATGGTCTCCGAACACACACACACACATCACTGGAAGTAAAGCCAAGGTGATAGATTAGAGTAAATCAGTTTTTCTCACCCTTCCTGGCACTATAACTCTTTAATATAGTTCCTCACGCTATTGGGGACCCCCAATCGTAAAATTATTTGTTGCTACTTAATAACTGTAATTGTGCTACTGTTATGAGCTGTAGGGTAAATATCTGCTATGCAGCCCACCGTTAAGAACCGGGATGCTGAGCAGGCCCAGGCCACCCCGGAGTGCTGCCTGTAGCGCACACTGACAGCCCCTGAGCTACACAGCAATGTACCAGCTTCCCTCTCTCTCCTGCAGCTCAGCTGTCCTGTCTGCCTCACCTCTTCCAAGCTGTCATTGACCGAGGTTATCTCCGGAGATTAGGCTACTCCTCCTGGGACATCCATTTAAATGATAGGATGTGTCGCCCCCAGGTCACTGGGCGTTACCTCATCTTCAATATCCCTTATGGCCACTGTGGCACCATCAGGCAGGTAAGAGGCTGACAGCGACGCGATGACCTTCATGAATGGAGTCCAAGAAGGGAGGCTTAGAAAAATTAAACTTCCGGTTAAAACATGTGGAAGATAGGGGAAGAAGCTGCTTCGTTTCTGAAGCGGCTCACTGATTGTCTGACGTTCCACCATTTGGAGAATTTCAGACACACACACATCCTGAGAAGATGCAGAACGAGTGTTGAGTGCAGTGGCGTGGACAGCGTGTTGGGTGTGCTGGCTAGACAGGTGATGGCTGGGCTGACAATATTCTCCCGGTTTCAAAGCCAGCAATTCTCATAACGTGCTTCTCGACTGAATGTTAGAACATATCCACCATGAGCCAGGTAGGGTGCTGGGGATGAGGGAGGACAGGTTGTCTGTCTGCTATGTCTCTAACATAACTAAGCAGCTAGTTATGTTCCACACAATAGAGAGCAAACATCTAGGATATTCTGGAGCCATTAAGTACATGTGTCTATTAATTCTCCGCAACCACCTTCTTAGCTCATGAAACAATGACATTGATATTAAGAACACCCATGTATATGTGAAAGAATTGTTCCACCACGACACCCCTGTCAGTATATTTGGCAGTGATGTGACCCAAAACAGAATCCTGACACTCTTTTCCTGCTTCCCTGTTTGTCTGTATGCAAAAGGCTCACCTGACACTGTGGAGGTAGAGTTCATTCAAACCGACCACGTGATGCATCCAACATAAGCTCACTTCTATTTTGTCTGCTGTTTGGTTGTACAGAATGTAGTCATTTTTATCCTTTTTGTACTTTGAAATTTGTACTTCTTAACTGAGAGATTCCTTCCCTGAAGCCAAGCCAGAAGCTCCCCCTGTCTAGGAGGAAGGCGGCCCCTGGCAGAAAGTCTCTGGATCTGAGTCACACACGCTTCAGAAATGTCCCCGACCTGGCTGTGCTCCTGGCATGCACACAGGGCATTTGAAGAAGTACAGGTGGTGGCTCCTGCCCATCATGTTGTCCATTCCACTACAAGGCTCTATGTTCTGCTGCAGGTGATGTGTGCAGCACACAAGCAAGAAGCAAGGCTAGGAGCCCAGGCTGGCAGGCACAGATTGAGGCTCACCTGTGGCCAAATCTAGCTTGGAATCAAGGGCAGAGAAGATCCAAGTTCCAAGTTAGATATGGTCAGAGGGGTGGGGTTCCAGTGGGCATTGGATGTGTGGAGGAATTCAAAAGAGAGGGAGCACCACGCAACCATAGTGGATCTGCCACCCAGCTCAAAGTTCTACAGATTGGCTATTACAGGAGGGAAGGGGCAGTCCTCACCCAAGATACACCCCCTTACACACACACACACACACACACACACACACACACACACACACACACTTCTTCCTAGTGTTACCACAGTGGTCCAGTCAGGGACTCCAGCCCCCAGGAAGGTCATGAAGCTGGTACCTGGCACTTAAGGGAAGGAAAGGACTCCACCGTGGATAAAGAGTAGCATCAAGGCTCCAGGTACACTACCTATGATTCTCTCATCCTCACAGGAGCATCAAGGCTCTCCCAGCTACTCCAACTCCATCAGAGGCAGAACTCAAGGCCACCCTGGCCGAGTCATAGTGAGGCACAAGGTGCCCCAGGTGAAGTTCACCTGCAAAGTGGATGGCCAGTCTGCAATGGAAATTGTGCATGGGAGTGACACTCAGAAGGACCATGTCAGCTACGATGTGTCAATTTCATTCCTCCAGTCTCCTGCATCCCGGAATATGGGGGTTGGAGCTCCTCCTTATACCCATCAGAGGGAAGAGGTCTTCCTGCAGGCCACCCTCCACAGCCACAATCCCAATCTGAAGCTCGTGGTGGATACCTGTGTGGCTTCTCCTGACCCCAGTGATTTCACAACTGTCAAGTATGAACTGATTCAGGAAGGGTAAGGATCATGGAAACTCTCCCTAGTTGGTGTTAAATGAGCATAGTGTTTCTCTGGGAAACCTGTAGTGTCTGACCTGGAGTACTAAGTCAGAAGGGTGTAGACATCCTGCATGTCTCTAGCAGACACTGATCATGGTGGAGAATATAGCAGCCTAGGCAAACTCCCTTGACTCCTCCAAGACCTCATTCAGTACTTTGCTAGCCCACCCCATCTTTTTTAGCCTAATCCTCCCTTCCTTCCTAGTTTCCCTCTCCCAGGACAAATCTTGAGGACTTTGGCTTACACTGATGAGTCAATGTGTTTTCCTGAGCTAAGCTCTTAGTCAAACCAGCCAGATGTCTTCAAGCTCATTGGTTCACCAAGTGACTTGCCAAGTGAGAACCTTGGCAAGTTGTTTGCCTCTGTGACTCCTACATATCTTATCAGGTGTTACTGCAGATCTTTCTCTGGGGACATTACACACATATCTATTTTCTCCAAATAACACAAAGGACAAAACCCCACCCCCCCAATTTCATCAAAGTCCATCTTGGTGAACCAGGAAGTTCTCCGGGCTTATTTGCAGAAGTGAGTAAGGAGTTGCATAGGTGAGTGACTCCATGTGCGCCACCCCAGCATAGATGACATAGCCCTGTGAATGTTGCTGAATGATGTGGATGATGAAGTCCCTTTCGGTCAACCTTCTGCCTCTCCTAACCCCGCGCTGCTGAGATCACATGAAGCTGGAGTTGGGTGGGAGGGAGTGGCTGGAATCTGCTGAGGAGCTAATTTTCCATTCCCTCCCTATATGAAGGGATGTTGATGGCCTGGTGTGGGTGACTCCTAAATATGGATGATCCCAGCTGCTCTGCTTTCGAGTTGGCAGTGGTCATGGCTGGAGGACAGGGGCTAAATGCTCATGAAGGGATAACTGGCGACTAATTAAGAAACTTGTTTCCTCAGTGGCAACTTTAGTGTGGTAAGAGCCACAACAGCCTTAGGCCCATGGGGAACAGTGAGGCACCTGTTGCCAGAGATCAACAGAGGAGCAAGACAGCATCTGCCACAGCTTTCTGGGAGCTGTGGCAGGACATGCAGAGACCAGAGGATGCTCTAGAGGGAGAAGGTTCCTGCCTTCGGACCCCTCTTATGGTCATATTATTAAGGCGAGAAGTTCAGCTAGATGTCAGAATGTCACAGCTAGCACACTGTTTCCCTTTCTCTAACCTTTAAATCTTTGGTTGATTGGAAATTATAACAAATTATATGCATTTTAATATTATAAATGCTCCCAAGTGTTGCCTTATCTGCATCCCACAAATTTTGTTAAGTTAGGTATTGTATTATTTACATTTCTATTGCTGTGACAAAACATGGTGACCAAGGCAACTCGTAAAGAAAGTGTTGAATTTGGCTTATGGTTTTAGAGGGTTAGGGTCCACGATGGCAGTGTGAAGGGACAGAGGCAGGAAAAGTGGAGAGCTTACATCGCCATTCAAAAGTAGGAGGCAGACAGAAAACACAGGAAACAGCACTAGTCTTTTGAAACTTAAAGCCTACCCCCGTGACACACATCCTCCAACCAGGCTTTCCCACAAGTTCCACCACCTGGGGACCAAACATTCAAAAGTGAGCCTCGGTGGGCTCTTCTCACCCACACCACAAGCACCATTTTCAGTTCTTTCAAAACAGTCTTAGATTTCTCTTAGGACATTTTTGACACAAAAGTTGCCTGAAAATATACTGTCTACTTGCACGTACTTGAGAATTTCCCAGAAATATTGCTGCCATTAATTTTAAGTTTAATTCTTTGCTACCTGACAATGTCTTTCTATCCTTTCAAGACTATTAAAGTATTTCTTATGGGCTGGAACATGGTCTGTCCTAATGAATATTCTACCTGGATTGAGGAGAATGTGCATTTTACTGTGGTTGGATAGACTGTTTAGTTAATGTTAACAAGATCTAGTAGGTCAACAGTGTTCCTCAGGTCCCTTCTACCCTTACTGCATTCCTCCCCACTGGATCTATGGTTGAGAGAGGGATAGTGAAGCATCCAGTTACTACAGTGGGTTTGTCGGCATCTCACTTCGGTGCCCTTTGCTTCCCATATTTAACACTCTGCCTGCAGGTGAGTTATATTAACGATTATTATATTAGGATAAAGATTGTTCCTTACCTCGATTATCTAGGGTAAGGATCTGCTCCTAGAGGGTTGACCCTTTCTTTTGTTGTTTACAAAGCACCCATCTTGGCCCTGACAGTTCTGCGCGCTCTGAAGTTTGTTCTGAACGAAGGAGCAGCTGCCATGCTGCACTCCCTCCATCTCAGTGTCGGTGTCTGTGCACTGACAGCGGCTGTCTTGTAAAGAGCACGTAGCTGGAGGATTTGTGGATTCCCCTGTAACCTATTCTCTGTCTTCACATTGGTGTAAATATGAACCGTTCATACTTAACATTCTCATCCAAGCAGTTGGATTAGACTCCACCACCATTTGTTATATTTGTCTTATGTTCTTTCCCTGCCCTGTGCCTACCTTCTCTAACTTCTCTGATTCTTTTGAACTATACATTTACATAACAACACTTTATCTCCTCTTAATATACCTCTTATGTCATCCTACAGTTTACAATCTACTTTCTTTGGGTAGTGCTGGGAATTGAACTCAGAACACTGGGGGCCATAGGTAACCAAGCCCTCATCCACTGCCCTGCATTACCAGGCCTATGATAAAATTTTTAAATAATCTAAGTGCATTTTTAAATATATCATCCACCTTATAATCTTCCCTTTAGGCAAAATAGTGTAGACCTAGAAGGCAAAAGTTACAGCTACACCTTGACTTGGTTTTCCTGTATTTAACGGTTCCCTTCTGTTTATGACCAGGTATACGGTTTCCATGAACAATGGTGTTAATCCATACGTGGAGGTAGTAGTAGTAGCATAGTAGTATAGTAGTATAGGAGTAGTTGTTGCTTCACAAAAGGGAGGGGAGTGGGAAGATCTCCTTTTGGCATTCAGAACCATAGAAGCCAGCCTGGTTATGTGGGTTGAAGGAAATTTATATCATGTGTTAGTTAACCTTTTTGGTTTGGGTTTTTCTCCCCATCAGGTGCATCAAAGACAATTCCTACTCCGACCTGCATACCTCTGGGAAGAATGTGGCCCAGTTCAAGTTCAACGCCTTCAGCTTCCTCAAAAGCTATGATGTGGTCTACCTGCAGTGTAAGGTTGCTGTCTGCCGAATCGGAGACCAATCTTCCCGATGCTCACAAGGCTGTAAAAGGCGAGGGAGGAGAGGCACAGGCTCTGCAGAGGCCAGAGAAGAACCAACTGAGTACTTCCAAACAGTGGGACCACTGAAGATCCACAGAGCAGGTCATCAGAGCAAGACCCTAGTGTGATCTCTCACGCTGTAACAAAAGTGTGTCGGGAAACTGGAAGCAAGGTATTTTTCTTAGCAGAAAGCTATGTTTGGTCAACCAGAAGCCAGACATTGGCAGCACTGTCTACTGTATCCATTCAGATGGGCAGGAGAAGCCAAGGGATTTCTTCTCTGGGGTTTGTCACTAACCAATCCTGAGCACTAACTTCTAAGGCAGTTTGTCTGTTGTAGGCAATAAAGGAAAATAAAGAATGCTGATTCTGTTATTCTTCACTCTTAAGACCTTGACCATTGTCTTCAAATGTATGAAACATTAGAAAAAGCGTGGTTGTCTATCTTTTTCCTGTGGGCAACTAAAGATTGTTTTTAAAAACATCTGCTACTATTTGGGTGCTGAAAGGTGGGTGGCCCTCTTTCTGTTCTTCTGGAAATATATTAATTCATTTCCAAATACTGCCAGCAATCTCATATAAAAATAAAATAAAGTGTTTTCTGGAAGCCACTGTTCATTTTCTTTAAACTCTTTTAGCAGAACCACTGAATGACACAAGGCTTTGAGAGCAACCTTCAAAAGGGTCCATCCAATTGTTTTGTTTTGAAGGGAACAGACTTCCTTTCTCTCGATTTTTCTCTGAGTGTTGAACTCCGCTCTTAATGACCTGCCCTGAAGAGCCAGTGACTAAATTTGAAATGTGGCAACTACTGGGTCGCAAAGAGCCAGGAGCTAATGAAAACGCTAATGCTTTTAGCTACTTTGTTCTTTGTTCTGCCAAGTAGAAAGCAGTGTGCAAAGGGAAATGCTTACAAAGCTCTGGCCTTGGGAGTCAGAAGATAATGGCTGATATCTATCCAGTATGTTCTGTCACATGCCAGGCACAGTGCCAACCCTACTCTGTACTAGGAAAGTCACCCAATCCCAATATATCCCGAGGATGCACCCACATCATCCAGAGGAGGAAATGCAGACTTGAATTATTTCAGACATTTGCTAATTTAATGATGATGAAGACAGGGTGTTTGGCCCCTAAACCACTACCCTACTTCCCTGTGTAACTTCACCAATGCACATCAGAGCCAGTCAATAAACAGCAACTGATATTACCTGAAATCATATCACTAACAGGAAATGACGGTACTGGGCCAGACAGAGGGGCTACGAAAGATACAGGCAGAGTGAGGAATCACCAAACAACGTTTCTTCATCCTTTCCGACCCCACAGGGAAACCTGCTAATTTGAATTATTTGTTTGGTGGGAAACCAAAGCCAGATGTATTCTACCTGCACATCTAAGAGTAACTCCAAGTCACTACCCGAGATTCTGAATATCTAGGTATTCTGTCTGGATAATTGATTCTAGAATACAGGTTTCTTTTCTTTTTATGCACTATGACCAAAGGGAGAGTCACCTATATGATGTGTCTGTCTTGCTAGTTGGTTAGATTTTGTAATTCTTATTTTTAATGTATTAATCAGCTGACCAATTACAGAGAAGATTCCATGTATCCCAGATAGTGTAACTGTTGTGTGGGTACGGGGAACTGAACCTTATCCCCGAGAGAGCAGCTAGTGTTAAACACTTAGCTATATCCAAGTACTATGAAATTTTCAAAAACAAATTTCTGCTTCTGACAATGATTTCATTGTCACTGCTTGTGGTGAAAATGGTTCTCATAGGCTCATACTTTTGAAAGATTTGTTTTCTGCCGGTTGAACTGCTTGGGAAGGATTAGCAAGTGTAACTTTGTTGGAGGAGGTGTGTCCCTGGGGGCAGGCTTTGAAGTTTGAAAAGCCTAAGAAAGGCCAGGCAGTGGTGGCACACGCCTTAAATCCCAGCACTTGGGAGGCAGAAGCAGGAGGATCTCTGTGAGTTCGAAGCCAGCATGGTGTACAAGAGCTAGTTCCAGGACAGGCTCCAGAGCTACAGAGAAACCCTGTCTTGGAAAACCAAAAAAAAAAAAAAAAAAGGAAAGATAAGAAAAGCCCAAGAACACCCTAATTAACTCCATCTGCTTCTGTGTGGATCAAGATGTGAGCTCTCAGCTACTGCACCAGCTCCATGCCTACCCACCTGCTGTCGTGCTCCTCACCATAGTGGTATGGACTCTAGCCCCTGGAACCATGAGCCTCAAATACATTGCTTTCTTTGTTAAGTTATTTTGGTCAGGGGTGTTTTATCATAGCAAACAGAACAGTAACTAAGACACTGTCTATGTTTAAGTGTGGTCTATTTGCAGGATGTGGCCCTGGCTCTCTGTTTAAGCTGATGAAGTTTGAAGCTTCCTTGTAAAAAAAAAAAAAAATCACATAGTAAAGATTCAGATGAGAGGAAATGATAATTAAAATTGTACCTTGACTAGCGGGAGGGAGGGGGGTAGGCTATTTTCCAGGTGAGATTTTGAACAATTTACAGGTGCTGGAATCTATGCTCACAAACTAACTCTTAAGTAAATTGACTTTAAAATAGGCTCAAGCGATGAAAGGAGACAGAGACAGAGACCCACAATGGAGCACCGGACTGAAATCTCAAGGTCCAAATCAGGAGCAGAAGGAGAGAGAGCACAAGCAAGGAACTCAGGACGGCGAGGGGTGCACCCATACACTGAGACAATGGGGATGTTCTATCGGGAACTCACCAAGGCCAGCTGGCCTGGGTCTGAAAAAGCCTGGGTTAAAACCGGTCTTGCTGAACATAGTGGACAATGAGAACTACTGAGACCTCAAGAACAATGGCAAGGGGTTTTTGATCCTACTGTACCTATTGGTTTCGTGGGAGCCTAGGCAGTTTCGTGGATACTCACCTTACTAGTCCTGGATGGAGGTGGGTGGTCCTTGGACTTCCCACAGGGCAGGGAACCCTGATTGCTCTTTGGGCTGACGAGGGAGAGGGACTTGATCGGGGGAGGGGGAGGGAAAGGGGAGGCAGCAGTGGGGAAGAGACAGAAATCTTTAATAAATAAATTAATTAATTAAAAAAAGGAAAAAAAATAAAATAGGCTCAAATCCCAGAGCTCATTGCTGACAGCTTGCCTGCTGGTATTGACATCCTCCTTCCCAATGGCTGAGGTTGGCAAAGCTCTGTCTCTGAGATGTGATGCAAGCCTTGCCACTCACCTGAGCAAACCACGCTGGCATCCTCATGGTGCCCACAGTTGTGGGAGAACCATCCGTGATGTGTGCATTGCCACACCTTGGCTTCATCCCCCATGCACTGCACATCATCCAGCATGATATGGCCCATGCCTCTCTCAAAGTAGCTCTCAGCTGGGGCTGACATGGCCACACCACAGCCAAGCTGCTGGCACACCACCTTGGCATCTGTCAGGTCCCAGCTGTCATCACACACTGCGCCCCAGATACCATTGTAAGAGATCTCTACTCGTCCCTCACACCTGTGGCTACGTTCACCAGTCTCAAGGCCAGACCCAGGAAAGGAAAAATAGGTGCTTCTGAGCTGTGACACTGTCTTCATATGCTAGGGTCATCTGCAGGTTGAAAAACATGTTCTCCATGTTAGACACTAGGAGTGACCCTGTGACCTGATCCCTAAAATTATATTTCTTTATGAGTATTGAAGTGCTGTTAATGCCTGTTAAATTTTTTGTTGGCACATTACCTCTTCATTAGAAATTGTAAGTGAGAAATTATTTCAACACCTGAAGACGAAATTACAACAGAAGATTCAATACGCTCAAGATTTTGAGACATTCTTGCAAGAATTCTAGGTAGAGTATATTCTTTCCGCGGCATGGCAACATCATTTTCTTTAAAAAGGTAACTGGACAGACATCATTTCCACAATCCCCTATATAAACAATCCTGAATATCTCACCCCTTCTCTGTTTATCTATAAATTCTAGCACAACTGCATTCTTCCAAAGGTTCTTCAGACAGCTATTGCAAGAACGAGTGTGGCAATTTTTAACTGTGAGACGAGCACTGTTCTCAAAAGCTGCTGGATTAGTAAACACGTTATCAAAGACATCATGAAAATCAGCAGCTTCTAAAACCCAACCTATGAAGACTGAGTTTGAATCTGAACTAATGATGCAATCCAATGTATCCTCATTCATCTTAGAAAGCTGAAAAGCTCTCCCGTCCCCTGAGTGAAAGGCGTTGATGTCAGCTCTTCTCATTTCATCTTCTTTCAGCCCTTTCTCTCCCAAATACTTAAAGACTCTGCCCATAAATTCTGTCCAGAACCCCTTCTGGTAAGAATCTTGCCTTTCCATAGGATTTCTTTTTTGGTCTGGAGCACACTGTACAATCCAGGTGTCACTATTGTCATCTATGATTGTATTGTCAAAGTCACACACCAACAAAACTTTCATGGTTCCAATGACAGATTTGGGTTACCCTAAGATGGCACTTGCAGTCCAATTAATCTTATTTCAGCACTGAATTTAGGTCATTAAAAATCTTTAATTTGCCACCTGTTTTTTTTTTTTTTTTTCCCGAGATCAGCCAGTCTCTACCTCCACAGCAGTGGGTTACAAATACTTATTACCATAGTCAGCATTTTTTTTTTTTTGGTTTTTTGAGACAGGGTTTCTCTGTAGTTTTGGAGCCTA